CGTGGGTCCTTGAGGCTCCACGCGTTAGGCTCCCAGGTCATGGGTATGGTTAAGTTGCAGTGCAGCGCATGCCTGGGTTTGGCTTTGAACCGCCAGTCCAGGCTACTTCTGCAATGACTTGGGCTGTTGATCTGCTGCGTGGCACTAAAGCTGTCTCACAGGCCACTACAGCGGCGACTAAATTACTACTGTTACATAAGCGACAATCTAGGCTCTGCCTGAAGCTGTTTCACAGGGCACTGTCGTGCCCGCAAGGGTGCTCCGCAGTGGCAACCGTTGTGTTGAGCCTCAATGAGCGACGACGTAGGGCCACATCCCGATCTCCATCGTTTATCCAAATGAACCATCATGTGCAAACTTAATAAAGAGGCCCTCCTTATTTGAAAAAAATATATATATATTTCTAGACAATATATTCATGCAGAATTCAACAATAATTGAAACCAATATATCATTCTTACTAAATAAATAATCTCCAATTGCCATGAAATTATAATTCTATGAAAAAATAGAGCACGTCTGAAACACAGATATGGAAATACGCTTGTATTTGTGGAATAAAGTAATACATTTTTATTGCTAGAGAAAGTGAAAGGAAGTAATACACAAGTTTTTTTATTGCTAGAGAATTGTTTTAGTAGAAACTCCACTTAATCAATTGTAATATAGATACTATCATATGATGATGATTTTTCTTTTTAATCAATTTTTTTAATTATAAATTTACACATATGTGATAGGAGGATCAAAATTTTGAGGTCCTATGCCGCTACACCTTTTGCACATCCCCAACGCCCCTTCTAATTGTATCTTTTCCCCAAAGAACCTATAAAAATTCTAAGAATAGGAACGTCTGGAAAAATTTACGTATGTAATGGAAAAATTCAAAACTCGCAAGAGCATTTTTTGAGCATTTAATAAGACTCTCGATGACAGCACTAATTTGTGGTAGCAAAAATCCGTCATATTCAGTCTTGACGAATTTGTACCTACAAGACAATAATAAACATATGTGATCAAGGGTCAAAGCCTCACGTGCAAATAGGGAAGGGGGTTTCGTCAATGGAGCTTTGATGCCTAAGTCACTATCTCTGAAAAGATGAGTGTTTAGGGCTTATATGCGTAGCAAAGCTTACGAAAATTTTGATGGAAATGAGCTATTTATAGGCATGTGGCGGCTTCCCATTGGCTAAGGTGATTCATCTGTGGGTTGGATGTGGAAAGAATTATTCCAAAATATTAAGTAGAAGATAATTTCTTAGGATGATGATGGTAGTATCCTAGATTGATTTTGATGAAGATTCCTTACTTATTTGAGTTGATCTTCAATTAGAAGAAGATTAAAAGATGAGATTTATTAATTCTATCTTTAATGCCTTTGACTTGTCTTCCTTATCACGAACAGGAGAGCTTGGCAGTGTGGTAGTCTACTCTTGCCTCTAGGAATGTTGAACTACACATGGGAATGTTCAATTTCCGATATACGTCAATGCTTTAGACAAAGGTCTGTGGCCATGGGAATTTCTCATGGTATGGCCACCAGCCTTGCAGTAATTACAATACTCTTTAGAGCTAGGACTCGAATTCAACATTGGGCGAGGCTTCTTGAAGGGCTTATCTCGGATCTCATGCAAAATGTTGTTGAGAGAAGTGGAAAAGCCTCCATGATGGTTTCGGATTTTATCGTTCTTATACCTATCATCTCAGGCGACGATTTCCTCCGCCTTGTCAAAGCACTCTGCCAAGGTTTTAGGCTTGTGGAGCTTCATGTTGAGCTCCAATTCTATGGGGAGTTACTTCTTTAAATTACAGAGTTTCAACGCGTTTATATTTATGACATATAGTTTTTCAATAAGTAAATGGGTGAAAACACCCTTAATGACTAAACAAGATTCTTCATAGACGTATTTGATCTTTTCATGATTTGCCACATTTCTTTACATTTAGATAGTACGTGTTGATATGAACACGTGAGCACAAGTAGAATCAAATTTGGAGATATAACGAAGATTTTACGAAGCTCGGAAGCCGAGGGCATTTTGATCTTCTTACATTAATTTGGACATGTGAACTTCTGGCCTATGGGTGTGTGCCACGTCGGACCCCCATTTTTCTAGAATTCTTTCGACCCTCTATTTTCACTTCTCTTCCATCTCACTCAAACTCTCTTTCTCATCGAGATCATCACATCAATCATCCCTTCCTAGCGAGTTTACTAAAACGAAACCACCATCAAAACTTCATCCGAATGAACTTTATGGCATTTGTTCCATGAAAAATTCATGCACAGACTCCATTTCAAGGACTTCATTAGAGCAGTTTCCCATCAATTTTAGACAGTTTCTAGCCATCTTTTGGACTCCAAACATGTATAATCTTGTTCTACTATTCTCTAGCTTCGTTTGTGAAATTTGGTTGAGAAACAAGTGAGTTGTAGCGATTTGAAAATCACCCAAATTTTCACCCAACTTTTAAGAAATCGTTTTGTTTTCCGACGAACCGGGTCGACCCATATTCGGCCCAACCTAGTTACATAATCAAATTGGAATATTCCGTGGCCCTTAGGGAATTATGTCGTTGTTAACAGTTGACTTTTTTTTTGTTTTGTTTTGCTTGGGATCCCTCTTAGACTAATTTCGACGTCCTGAATCCATTTTTAACATCTGTTTAGTCAATGTGTTTCAAATTCTTCTAGAATGTCCTAGAAGACATGTACAAGCGAGAATTAAGTGTTTTATTGAAATAATTCTTAAACGAGACATGTGAATTCACACGTCCTAGGCGATAAATGTACGTGGATCCTTTGTACAATCATCGCCTAGAACAATTCACACATCTTTTTTTATAGTTCTTTTGATAAAAACAATTAATTCTCGCATGTACACGTCATCTAGGGACACTCTAGAAGAATTCAAAATGCGTTGACCAAAGTCAACCCTCGATCAACTAGCAACGGTAAGTTCCACAACCCCACGTAACTTGAAAGGAAAGATCTGCACATTGGATTTCTGATTCGTAACTTTCTAAAATCCTCATTATGCTCCCAAAACAACATATTAAAATTTCATAACAATTCAACGATCTAATCTCTGCTTATCGCAATTTTAAGTGGTGGTCAACTAGGCAGTCAATTCTGAAACTACGTTAAAACATCAGAATTTCACTAAACGGATGTTAAAAATGGATTTGGAACGTCGAAACTAGCCTCAAAAGAGTCTCGGGCTGAAACCCAAAAAAGTCAACAGTCAATAGCAATGGAATATTCCCCATGGCCCTTAGAATATTCATATTCCAATCTTATGTAGCTGCGTCAGGTCGGATATGGGTAAACCAAATGATTTTTGAAAAATTGGTTAAAATCTGGGTGATTTTCAAATCGCTATAATTCACTCGTTTCTCAACCAAATGTGACCTATGATATATCAAAACGAAGCTAGAGAAGAGTAAAACACAATTATACTTGTTTGGAGTCCAAAAAAACGACTAGAAACTATCTAAATTGATGGGAAAGTCACTGCTCCATTGAAGGTCCTTGAAATGGCGTATGTGCACGAATTTTCAAGGAACAAACACCATAATCGAGTTCGTAGGGACGATAGGGAAGTTTTGATGGTGGTTTTGTATTAGAAAACTTGTCGGGAAGGGATGGTTGTGTGATATGATTCTCGGTGAGGAAGACAGTTTAAGAATGAGATAGGAAAGAAGTGAGAGACGGGAAGAGAAGAGAGGGCCGAGAGAATTCTAGAAAAATGGGGTGTGTCCAACACACCCAAAGGCAAGAAATTCACATGTCCACATTAATCTAAAAAGATCAAAATTCCCTCAGTTTCCAAGCTTCGTAAAATCTTCGTTAGATCTCCAAATTTGATTCTGCTTGCGCCCACGCAATCATATCAACCGATACGTACTATCCAAATATGTAAAGAAATGTGGCAAATCATAGAAAGACCAAATATGTCGACAAATAATCCCGTTTAGTTCATTAAGGGTGTTTTCGTCCATTTAGTTATCGAAAAAACTATAGGCCCCTAAACCCTAAACCCGTCGAAACTACGGATATGAATACGAAATACGTAATTTTAAACAATGAAATCTAGGGACAAGAGATTTCACACCATTCCCATAGTCCCATGGGAATGATATTCTAGTGGATGTGGAATATGTTTCTAGGTGGGACGAGGCAATTGTAGCACCAGATTAGTGGTTCTGAAATTCCTCCAGGGTATTCCTTCCACAGTTTTGAACTCCAAGGGTATAATCATATGTGCAAATTAAAGTCTCCAACAGGGTTTAGGATGTCCCCATATTAAGCAACTAAATTTTGACTCTAATTTAGCGGATCCCATACTGGGCTATTAAGCAGCTAAATTTTGACTCTAATTTAGCGGATGAAAAATGCAAGTTACAGTTGAATGAGCTTGAAGTAATTCATAATGAGGCATTCAAGGATTTGCACGGATAAGGTGTTTTCTTCAATTCATAATGAGGGGTTTCATAATAATAATAAAACTCTTCGGAAGGAATTTTAGACAGGGCAGAAGGAGTTTTCTTCAATTCAAGATTAAAGTTGTTTCCAGGCAAACTTAAGTCTCGATGGGCCTTTATGTCTAAGGTTTATTCGCATGGGGTTGTGGAGATTAAAGGTTAATGAGGTTACAGGTCATGAGTTCAAGGTTATGGTCATAGGCTGGAACTGTACCACCGGACTCTGAATGATCCTTAACCACAGGACTTCTGCTGCGTCTAACTACGTTAAATAAAGAGCTTATTGAAAGTCCACCCAATTTTCTAACTCTTTCCTTACTTTCTTTAAGTTTTTATTTGATTTTTTCAAAAATTTAAGTTTTTCTAGTTTAAATTTTGTGTTTTACATTCTGTTTTTAATTTTCAAAAACATTGTGCCGTGTAGGTTGGTAAAATAGGTTATGGATTAAAAAATTTGGGCTTTTGCAGATAGCAAACAAAACATTTGTTTCATTTTCAACTACAGCGCACATACATAAAAGTAAAACTGGATCCTGCATCCAGCAGCAAGTTTACATTATCATCAACCACATACATCAGTTCTACATTATCAACTGGCAGAGAATTTAAAGCAGTTAAAGCAACAGAAATTTCAAACAAACAACAGTTATTGAGGGGGATTTTAGAAAACATACCAGGGCAATTCTGATGAAGTTTCTGCATTTGGACCCACTCGCTCCACTCAACTCACTCCCACCCCATAAATTATACATCACTGTGAAATTCCTAGATACACTTTCCTACAGATCGGGGGTCCAAATGCAGAAATGTCCACTGCGCTAGTCCGGTTAGTCCAAAGTTTCATCAGCTTTCAGTTAGGATTCATACAGTGCTTTCAGTTTCGAAGCTCATCTGATTACACAGAGACATGAATTCAGAATTTTCAACATTCGTTAGAAGCTATGATCAAACAAACAGATGCAAGAATTCTGAGCTTTTTTAATTTCTAAGCTCATCTGATCAGTGATCACAGAGACTTCCAAAAAATCTTAAGGTTAACATCTATGCCCTTCATTTCTAACCCTCAAGAGCAGAACTAAGTTCCTGCATTTGTTTCAGTGATCCATCTAATAGTAATACCATAGTATGTATATGTATATATATGCTTTCAATAGCTGAAAATATACCTCAGTTTTGCCGTAGTGAGCGTAGATGTCAGCTATGTACTTAACAAAATTAAGCGGATCCTTAGAGCTGCTGCTGTCCATAATGGGGTCCTCATCCTCCACATTTTCATCTTCTTCCTGCAGTAATCAACAGAATGTACCCAGTTAGCCTTCTGATATATAAAGATGGCAACTTTTGAATAAGAAAAGTGCTACTAATACTAGACAGTAAGACACACATACCATCCTACTTGGGTGTGCTTAACGAACATTGGCACATGAGCATCACAAGCCTTTGAATTTGCAGCAAATGAACTCACAGACACTTCCTTGGTTTCCTAATTACATGTAACCAATACCAAAAATTGTAATTAGAACTAAAATCGAAAAACTAAAAGGTAGTACCTTCGGCTGCTACTGAAGCAATTGTGCAAACCTCCTATACAAACATTGAAATATTAGTATCAAATTCTTTGGCTAGCAACCTTCTCACGGGTCTATGTGGCAGATATGGCACGTTTTTCTTACATTCCACAGCATCTTTTCTGAATAACAGCGGTTATAATGTCTCGAACATAAATTTAAAAAATTGAGAAATTGAAAATTACGTTAAATTTACATCCTGTGGTTCTGCTACGTCTCTTACCTTGGAAAATTGAAGGCCTAACGAGAGCTGGGTTGTTCTCCTTTGATCCCATTTTGATCACCTCCAATAGGAAATCACCATCAAACGACAGAAATCAAAAACCCCAAATTAAAATTTCAATGAAATCAGAAAAACTCATGATCTAGAACACGAAGAACAATAAGAAAACGTCCGAAAATCTGAAAAACAATCGAAACCCAGAACATTCGAAATTTCAAAAAAACATAAAAAACGAAAGATCGAAACAAACCCACAAACCTTTAAGAGAAATCAAGGGACTTGATCAAAGTAAGGCACATATCAAAGCATTGAATCTTCAAAATCCCGAGAGAGAAATGAATGGCATAGGAAGCCGCTCTCTCTCTCTCTCTCTCTCTCTCTCTCTCTCTCTGTATACACTCTGCGTCTGTGTTTCTTGTTGGGTTCTTTAAAAGGGAATTTGGGAGAGCAGGGCATGTGCTCGTCTCGTTTTGAATACAACGGCTACTAATTCCTGACCGTCAGATCTTAATACAACTGAAAAGTCTCGATTCTGTCTCTAACGGCTATCTCGCTTTTGTGCTCCGTGCCCTATTTATTATTTCAAATGTTTTCTTGCAGGTCTCCGGCCCTTTGATGCTTTTTTTTTTTTTTTTTTTTTTTTTTTTTTTAAGTTTTAACGAAATGTATGTGGTACTGTTTATTTTAACGAAAAATCATATTTTTACATTAAAAAGTTAATCTGCTACTATTACTTTATTTTGTCATTATCGTTAAAACTCAAATTTTTCAAGCCTGTTTTATTAGTTTTTTTTTTATTAGTTGGGATGGGCCTTTTGACCCTTTTGTATCTAATAACAAGCCCCGTTGTACTATTTTATTATATTTCCATGTCAACCCTAAACATAGAGCGCTGATGGATTCAGAATGTTGAAGTTTCTGTGTAAAAATATCATTCTAGCTCATTGGCCTACATTAGTCACCATAAAAAGGTTTACTCACTTTATAAGACTCATTCCTTTACAAAGTGATTTGAATGATGGTGAATGAGGATCCTTTCCGGATCCTTGGACCCTCTTTGTGAGGATCTTGACGATCCTCCAATCTTGTCAGTTTATCGTACATCGTGCGGTCAATTTTCGTCAGATACTGTTTATATTCAATTTTAAATAAAAAATTAAAATAATTTTTGACCGCACGATGTATGATGAACAGATATAATTGAAGGATCTCCGGAATCCTCACAAAGAGGATTTGGAGAGGATCCTCATTCGAGTTAAACACCTAACAAACTGGTGTTGGTTTTAGTCTGTAATTTCAATAAGAAAAAGAAAAACACTACTAGAAAAATGCCTTACAACAAGCAAAAGATTTACATGGAACAATTTACCACCATCGTAAAGTCTCAATCTACTATTACAAGACCATACGTAACACTCTACAGACACATAGCCTTGTATTGGTAATTGAGGACACCATTATAGGATAAACATGTTCCATGCAAGTGCATTGTAAGCCCTATCTTCAGTAAAAAAACTAGCTTCCCAAACCACATTACACTATGTTTGAACGAGAGAAATAAACATGGAATTTTGGTAAAAGTTAGAATTTATAAATTGACAAGCATCACTTCTCTTGTTTGGATTCATAAACATAGAAATTTAGCATTTCTGTGTTGAAAAAAAATAACTTGGAATTTGGGACCTCCAAATCCCAAATTCAAATTCCATGTAAATAGATGTTATTTCTCAATTTTTATGATTAAGAGTTTAAAAATAACAAATTCCGTATTCAATTCCATTGTTCTTTTAGGTTAACTAAACAAGAAAATTTACAAATTCTAGAAAATAAAATCTTATCATTTCAATTTCCGTCATTTTTAAATTTCTTAGTAATCTTAATTTTTTCGCCCAAACATAATATTAGTTGTAACTTGTATAAATGGCAAATTATCATTTACAAAAAAACTCGTTAAAACTAATAGAGGAGCTAAAATAAATCATAAATATATTTATAAGAGCAAACATAAAAATGAATTTATACAAAATCACTACATAAAAATGTACAAACGAAAATAGAGTGCAAACTTCCTACATACATTTCAATTTTTCTTTCTTTTTTTTTCACAATCCAAATTAATTACCTCCGGCTCAAAACCCTACCCCAGCCGCGCCGACTCCCATCGCAGCCTGCCTGTGCGGCTCCAGCTTCCTATTCTTCCAAAAACACGTCTCCGGCGCCACCGCAAGCTTAGGCACCGACCTCAGTGGCTCGGACTTGCATCGCGTCAGCACGAACTGCTCATAAGCAGCGGACCCCACCAGCTTCTGCCCGATCATCGTCGCCATCGACTGAACCGGAAATGAACAAGACGACCTGGGCGGCTGCATCGTTATCGGTTGCTGAACCACCGGCGCCAGAGGAGGCTTCGAGTCGATGCTCACCCGCTTCAAATAAGTAGGTTGTTAGCATTTCTCATCTAAGTGAATCGAAGCAAGAGATTTTCTCCAACAAAACAAAAACATGAAGGAGATGGATTTGGTTTGAAGGACTAGCATGTAGAATTATCAGAGAGACGGACTAAGGGTCCACTCTCAACAACATCAATATTGTCTTCAACTTGGTAATTACGACTTGCACAATCCTTCAGGTGTGGGGTTTTAGTACAAAAGATCTTGATATTAGTTGGAGTGGGATTAGGATCTTTAAACTCTATTTTTTTTTTTCCACATATATGATCGATGTGGGATATTTCAACATAGCATGAATACACCATTGGGATAATCTCAATCTTTGTCATTTGTATTCCTAAACCCTAAACCATCGAATAAACTCGTGTTGATAAATGATGTAATGGTGGTGTAACCATCTCGGATATCTCTCAACTTTTCTTCAACATTACTATGTAGCATTGAGTGTTACTAAAAATGAAAAGTTGAGTTTGAAAATAAAAGATCAAAAAGCATCTTCAATGCATCGAAAAATTCGAACTCGAATTTTATGTTCTAGTCTAAATATGAGTCCAAGGTTCCCTAATGCACACTCATTTCAAGTATCCGATGAAGTTGAGACCCAAAACTAAGTTTCAATATGAGATTTGAGTTCAAGTTGGAGCCCATGCCAATAAGGAAAAATGTTATTCAACCAAGAAAATGAGATTTAAGTCCAATCATTTCCAATAAACATAACCAAATTGTTTTATAAATCAAATATGAATTTTGAGTCCAATGTTTTCTCATGCACATGCTCAAGTTTTAAGATTTGAGTCTTTGCACTGGAGATGCTCTAATAATTATGAAAATTAAATCTAACAACTAAAACACATGTAATGTTGAGTACTACGTACATAAAAAAAAACACATGTAACATTGAGTGCTACGTACGTAGCATTGAAGTCAACCATGTACTCTTACAAAATCGCACATTACCCCGTATACTCTGTTATGTCTCACTTTACTCAATGTATTCATCTTTCATTGGCGAGACAAAGGCTCTTTGGACTTTCCAACCCATTTTCACATTTAGAAATATATGAAATAGCAAAAACAACCTTGGAATAGAGCAAAACCAAAACCTCGCCAACATTACCCCAAGTTCACTCCATGACTATCCTAAATGGCTCAACCTCTCAAAGATTGACAATTTGTCATTAAAACTCACAATTCATTTGACCTATCTCCAGTATCATTGCTGAAAAAACCAGATAGTTATTGACATATCAGCGGAATTAATGTCTCTCTTAACTTAGTTGACGAAATGGGATTGAGAGAGACACAAATGATGAATACATGAGGTATGGTAAGATAAACAAGAGTGTAGGAGGTAAGAATAAAACAAACAAAAAAAGTTGCTATTAGATCTTCCTAATCGTTGAAATCTAATAGTAAAAACCATGGATTGAGATTCTCTCCGGATGTCACACTCCAAAGTTTACAGACCCAATAATCTGAACCCTTCAAAAACTGCAAGTGGAGCTGGAATCCCTATCAAAAGGTGGTTCTGAATTGACTCTGGCTCAAGAGTGGCTTTCTGCTCTAAAATAGCACCCCATTATAGCCCATGTGTTTCACCACCTTTCACCATTCGATTTCATCATGTGCACAGAGACCAAACAACGCCTCTAGTTTACGTGGTTGGAGTTGGATAAGCAACAAGTAGAAAGTAACACATGGCATATGTGGCTTTTGAGCTACATGTAACCAATTTGTTAGGCTGCCCCCAACACATGAGCACTTTGAAGCCATCGACTACACGCGACATGACAGTGCCAAGTTTCGTTAATTGCAAGGGCCAGCTGTGTTTTATGTTAAGTAGGTACTTAATATTCTATTAGAGAATGTGTTTTGGACAATGCAATGACCTAATCAGACCAGACAAACCAATATGATAAAGACTCTGCTTCACGAGCATCGAAATAGAACCAGTGTGGAACTGGAGGGAAACTATCGTAGCTTAGTGAAAGTTGGTTGCCGGCCTAATCACTATTTTTGATGAACAAGTTACATGATACAAGTTTTATTGGTTTCATTTTACACATGTATTGTATCAGTTGACACAAAATATCACAATAATAGTGTACATGTGTCGTGAAAGTCATTCTCCTTAAGTAGCGTCATTTATGGTATGTTACCCACCCATTTGGTGTGTGGTGCCTCCTAACCTGTGGGCTCAGGACTTGCTTAATTTGATTCAGTAGAAGATGATGAGGTCACAAACTCGACATTTCATCCATCGTAAAACAATTAATTTCATTACTCTCAATTCTCTACTTAGTTACAAGTATACAACACTTGGTATTTGATCATGATTGCAAGCAATAATCAATCTACTAACACGGAAAAAGAAATTTATGTTCTTGATTAATTAAGACTGCAGATAGCTTACCATCTCTCATTTCTCCTATTGGTAGGCCTAGAAATTTTTTACACGACCCGTTAGCCCAACTCGAAACAACACGAAATTAACAGATTTTCGGGTAGACACGTTAACAAATCGGGTCGTTATTGGGTAACCCGATAAGCACTTATTAAGATAACGGGTCAGTCCAGGTATATATGTGGATAACCCGTTACACAATAAGAAAATTTTAATTTGATAATTATATACCACTAAAAAAATACTATAATTAACAGCAGTAGGATTTAATCTCAAAACAAACTGAAAGTTAAAAATTTAGAAAATTGATGAATAAAGATTTAATCTTGGTCATCCAATTTTTATCTTAGCCAAAAATTAGACTCTCTCTCTCTCCCTCTCTTATTCTCGAAGGCTCGAATTGAAGCATCTATTATCTCTATCTTGAACTGAACTCTCATCTCAGTCTAGAACCCCAACTCTGGCTAGCCACAACTCCACGACCACCCTCTCTAGTCTCCTACCACCACACCACTGTCACCACATACGACCTATTAATTCACCACCAGTCCATTTGCTACTTTTGTCTCCAATTCTCTCTCTGGATCAAGCAAATCTCGTTATGATATTTTTGTGGCAATAAGCTATTCTGAAGTAATATTTATGTGGCTATGTGATATGTGCAAATTTAGAAAGAAAAAAAATTTCTTAACAGGCCATAATGACCTAACCTATTTTTGTGGCAATGTTAAGCTATTTTAACCGTTGGGTAAAACGACCTAACCTATTAAGAACCCGTTAAGATAATGAGTGTGACATGACACGATCCATCAAAATAACAAGTGTTACACGAAAACACTACAAACACGGCAAACACGACCCATTTGCCAGACTACATATCAAGGCACGTTCAAAGTGTCTAACCCGCATGAGGAGTCAATTCACCTATTTATAGGCCATGAGGAGTCAGTCTAGGCCTCAAACACTTTTCTAAGTCATCGGTACAAGTAGGGGTTAGTGGCAAGACCTGTCTACTCAAACATGCCCTTTATCTAGAGTAAGGTTGCATGTTCTCTACACAATAACGGAAAACAATCTACGCCAGTCAGTCTGGCGTGACATCCCACGTGGTCGAGTAAGTGCTGCTTTGATTGGACATAGCAGTTTAGTATCTAGTGGGAGTAACTGGTATAGCTAAGTTGTCGAAGTCAACTCATTCCTCTCGAAGTAGTTTCACTTCGCAGATAGATATGATTATATACCAGGAACCACATGATTATATCATCTCTCAGTGAAGAGGTATGAGGCACTGCCTCCACTCCATGCTTGAACATTCATTATTCCGAGAAGGTGAAAATTATGGTCACACAGCCGCCGAGCGGGATGCTCGTGGTTGTGCATGACGCGGCCTGCTAATTAAACTCAAGCCAGACTGTGCTTCTTCTTTTCTTCGTTTAATGTGATGCCTTTCCAATACAAGGTGGAGAGAACTATTTGCAAGCCAAATCGTGAATGGACATTCGCTTGGAATTGGGTCTAGAATGCTCGTCCGAGTGTGAGCGCAACCATGAATGCATATTTTCGCATGGACCTAGTCGGAAGTAGACGATGTCTGCCCGCTAAGGTGAGATAAAACATTACCCTAAGGCCCCAGGAAGGAGTGCACATTGCCCTCGACGCTCAGTTCATGGCTGTTTGCCAGGATGTTGCTAGAAAGCAACGTCAACAACTGCCATCGTCTCTCGATGTGCTCAAAAAGTTGTTTCCCCGAGGTCATCTGTTGCATTGGTACGGATAGGTGTTGATCGCCATTCAGGGTGAAAGAACTAAGATAATAGGCGTTTCCATTAGTAATAGAAGTGTAAAGGATTTTAAGCACAAAATTTGAGCCGAGACGAGTCAAATCTACGAAAAAACAAGAAAAAATAAGGCACAAATACCCATGTTCAATCGCTAGTCTGACGGTATGCCCACCAACCAGCCTAGGTTGCGATTGATTGGGGAACCAAGAATCGGTTTGACTGAACCGATCCGTAACTAATTTGGAGTGAAGGCCGCAAGAATTGGCTGGACCTTAAGGCTCCACGCGTTAGGCTCCCAGGTCGCCGGTCGTGGGTCCTTCAGGCTCCACGCGTTAGGCTCCCAGGTCATGGGTATGGTTAAGTTGCAGTGCAGCGCATGCCTAGGTTTGGCTTTGAACCGCCAGTCCAGCTACTTCTGCAATGACTTGGGCTGCTGATCTGCTGCGTGGCATTGAAGCTGTCTCACAGGCCACTACAGCGGCGACTAAATTACTACTGTTACATAAGCGACAATCTAGGCTCTGCCTGAAGCTGTTTCACAGGCACTGTCATGCCCGCAAGGGTGCTCCGTAGTGGCAACCGTTGTGTTGAGCCTCAATGAGCGACGACGTAGGGCCACATCCCGATCTCCATCGTTTATCCTAATGAACCATCATGTGCAAACTTAATAAAGAGGCCCTTCTTACTTGAAATATATATATATATATATATATTTCTAGACAATATATTCATGCAGAATTCAACAATAATTGAAACCAATATATCATTCTTACTAAATAAATAATCTCCAATTGCCATGAAATTATAATTCTATGAAAAAATAGAGCACGTCTGAAACACAGATATGGAAATACGCTTGTATTTGTGGAATAATGTAATACATTTTTTATTGCTAGAGAAAGTGAAAGGAAGTAATACACAAGTTTTTTTATTGCTAGAGGATTGTTTTAGTAGAAACTCCACTTAATCAATTGTAATATAGATACTATCATATGATGATGATTTTTCTTTTTAATCAATTTTTTTAATTATAAATTTACACATATGTGATAGGAGGATCAAAATTTTGAGGTCCTATGCCGCTACACCTTTTGCACATCCCCAACGCCCCCTCTAATTGTATCTTTTCCCCAAAGAACCTATAAAAATTCTAAGAATAGGAACGTGTGGAAAAATTTACGTATGTAATGGAAAAATTCAAAACTCGCAAGAGCATTTTTTGAGCGTTTAATAAGACTCTCAATGACAGCACTAATTTGTGGTAGCAAAAATTCGTCATATTCAGTCTTGACGAATTTGTACCTACAAGACCATAATAAACATATGTGATCAAGGGCCAAAGCCTCACGTGCAAATAGGTAAGGGGGTTTCGTCAATGGAGCTTTGATGCCTAAGTCACTATCTCTGAAAAGATGAGTGTTTAGGGCTTATATGCATAGCAAAAGCTTATGAAAATTTTGATGGAAATGAGCTATTTATAGGCACGTGGCGGCTTCCCATTGGCTAAGGTGATTCATCTGTGGGTTGGATGTGGAAAGAATTATTCCAAAATATTAAGTAGAAGATAATATCTAGGATGATGATGGTAGTATCCTTGATTGATTTTGATGAAGATTCCTTACTTATTTGAGTTGATCTTCAATTAGAAGAAGATTAAAAGATGAGATTTATTAATTCTATCTTTAATGCCTTTGACTTGTCTTCCTTATCACGAACAGGAGAGCTTGGCAGTGTGGTAGTCTACTTTTGCCTCTAGGGATGTTGAACTACACATGGGAATGTTCAATTTCCGATATACGTCAATGCTTTAGACAAAGGTCTGTGGCCAGGGGAATTTCTCATGGTATGGCCACCAGCCTTGCAGTAATTACAATACTCCTTAGAGCTAAGACTCGAATTCAACATTGGGCGAGGCTTCCTGAAGGGCTTATCTCGAATCTCATGCAAAATGTTGTTGAGAGAAGTGGAAAAGCCTCCATGATGGTTTCAGATTTTATCGTTCTTATACACATCATCTCAGGCGACGATTTCCTCCGCCTTGTCAAAGCACTCTGCCAAGGTTTTGGGCTTGTGGAGCTTCATGTTGAGCTCCAATTCTATAGGGAGTCACTTCTTTAAATTACATAGTTTCAACGCCCTTAATGACTAAACAAGATTCTTCATAGACGTATTTGATCTTTTCATGATTTGCCACATTTCTTTACATTTAGATAGTACGTGTTGATATGAACACGTGAGCACAAGCAGAATCGAATTTGGAGATATAACGAAGATTTTGCGAAGCTCGGAAGCCGAGGGCATTTTGATCTTCTTACATTAATTTGGACATGTGAACTTCTGGCCTATGGGTGTGTGCCACGTCGAACCCCCATTTTTCTAGAATTCTTTCGACCCTCTATTTTCACTTCTCTTCCATCTCACTCAAACTCTCTTTCTCATCGAGATCATCACATCAATCATCCCTTCCTAGCGAGTTTACTAAAGCGAAACCACCATCAAAACTTCATCCGAATGAACTTTATGGCATTTGTTCCATGAAAAATTCATGCACAGACTCCATTTCAAGGACTTCATTAGAGCAGTTTCCCATCAATTTTAGCCAAACATGTATAATCTTGTTCTACTATTCTCTATCTTCGTTTGTGAAATTTGGTTGAGAAACAAGTGAGTTGTAGCGATTTGAAAATCACCCAAATTTTCACCCAAATTTTAAGTAATCGTTTTGCTTTCCGACGAACCGGGTCGACCCATATTCGGCCCAACCTAGTTACATAATCAGATTGGAATATTCCGTGGCCCTTAGGGAATTATGTCGTTGTTAACAGTTGACTTTTTTTTTGTTTTGTTTTGCTTGGGATCCCTCTTAGACTAATTTCAACGTCCTGAATCCATTTTTAACATCTGTTTAGTGAAATTCTGATGCTTTAATATAGTTTCGGTATTGACCACCTAGTTTAAAATTGTGATTGCCAGAGATAAGAAAATCCAATGTTGTTTTAGGACGTTACAGATCGAAAATCCAATGTGCATCAAGTTACGTGAGGTTGTGGAACCTACCGTTGCCAGTTGATTGAGGGTCAATGTCTTTCAAATTCTTCTAGAATGTCCTAGAAGACATGTACAAGCGAGAATTAAGTGTTTTATTGAAATAATTCTTAAATGAGACGTGTGAATTCACACGTCCTAGGCGATAAATGTACGTGGATCCTTTGTACAATCATCGCCTAGAACAATTCACACAGTCTTTTTTTATAGTTCTTTTGATAAAAACATTTAATTTCGCATGTACACGTCATCTAGGGACACTCTAGAAGAATTCAAAATGCGTTGACCAAAGTCAACCCTCGATCAACTAGCAACGATAAGTTCCACAACCCCACGTAACTTGAAAGGAAAGATCCGCACATTGGATTTCTGATTCGTAACTTTCTAAAATCCTCATTATGCTCCCAAAACAACATATTAAAATTTCATAACGATTCAACGATCTGATCTCTGCTTATCGCAATTTTAAGTGGTGGTCAACTAGGCAGTCAATTCTGAAACTACGTTAAAACATCAGAATTTCACTAAACGGATGTTAAAAATAGATTTGGAGCGTCGAAACTAGCCTCAGATGAGTCTCGGGCTGAAACCCAAAAAAGTCAACAGTCAATAGCAATGGAATATTCCCCAAGGCCCCCTTAGAATATTCATATTCCAATCTTATGTAGCTGCGTCAGGTCGGATATGGGTAAACCAAATGATTTTTGAAAAATTGGTTGAAATCTGGGTGATTTTCAAATCGCTATAACTCACTCATTTCTCAACCAAATTTGACCTATGATATATCAAAACGAAGCTAGAGAAGAGTAAAACACAATTATACTTGTTTGGAGTCCAAAAAATGACTAGAAACTATCTAAATTTATGGGAAAGTCACTGCTCCATTGAAGGTCCTTGAAATGGCGTATGTGCACGAATTTTCAAGGAACAAACACCACAATCGAGTTCGTAGGGACGATAGGGAAGTTATGATGGTGGTTTTGTATTAGAAAACTTGTCGGGAAGGGATGGTTGTGTGATATGATTCTCGGTGAGGAAGACAGCTTAAGAATGAGATAGGAAAGAAGTGAGATACGGGAAGAGAAGAGAGGGCCGAGAGAATTCTAGAAAAATGGGGGTGTGTCCAACACACCCAAAGGCAAGAAATTCACATGTCCACATTAATCTGAAAAGACCAAAATTCTCTTAGTTTCCAAGCTTCGTAAAATCTTGGTTAGATCTCCAAATTTGATTCTGCTTGCGCCCACGCAATCATATCAACCGATACGTACTATCCAAATATGTAAAGAAATGTGGCAAATCACAAAAAGACCAAATATGTCGACAAATAATCTCGTTTAGTTCATTAAGGGTGTTTTCGTCCATTTAGTTATCGAAAAAACAATAGGCCTTAAATATAAACGCGTCGAAACTATGGATACGAATACGAAATACATAATTTTAAACAGTGAAATCTGGGGACAAGAGATTTCACACCATTCCCATAGTCCCATGGGAATGATATTCTAGGTGGATCGAGGCAATTGTAGCACCAGATTAGTGGTTTTGAAATTCCTCCAGGGTATTCCTTCCACGGTTTTGAACTCCGAGGGTATAATCATATGTGCAAATTAAAGTCTCCAACAGGGTTTAGGATGTCCCCATACCGGGCTATTAAGCAGCTAAATTTTGACTCTAAGGTTACAGGTCATGAGTTCAAGGTTATGGTCATAGGCTGGAACTGTAAACGCTTATTGAAAGTCCACCCAATTTTCTAACTCTTCCTTACTTTTTCATTAAGTTTTTTATTTAAGTTTTTCTAGATGCTTTTAATTTTTGTAAGCTTTATTTTATTTTCAATAGGTTCAAAAATTTAAGTTTTTCTAGTTGAAATTTTGTGTTTTACATTCTGTTTTTAATTTTCAAAAACACTTGGTTCAAAAATTTATGAGTGCCTAGTCACATTGTGCGGTGTAGGTTGGTAAAATAGGTTATGGATTAAAAAATTTGGGCTTTTGCAGATAGCAAAGAAAACATTTGTTTGATTTTCAACTACAGCGCACATACATAAAAGTAAAACTGGATCCTGCATCCAGCAGCAAGTTTACATTATCATCAACCACATACATCAGTTCTACATTATCAACTGGCAGAGAATTTAAAGCAGTTAAAGCAACAGAAATTTCAAACAAACAACAGTTATTGAGGGGGATTTTAGAAAACATACCAGGGCAATTCTGATGAAGTTTCTGCATTTGGACCCACTCGCTCCACTCAACTCACTCCCACCCCATAAATTATACATCACTGTGAAATTCCTAGATACACTTTCCTACAGATCGGGGGGTCCAAATGCAGAAATGTCCACTGTGCTAGTCCGGTTAGTCCAAAGTTTCATCAGCTTTCAGTTAGGATTCATGCAGTGCTTTCAGTTTCGAAGCTCATCTGATTACACAGAGACATGAATTCAGAATTTTCAACATTCGTTAGAAGCTATGATCAAACAAACAGATGCAAAAAATCTCAAGGTTAACATCTATGCCTTTCATTTGTTTCAGTGATCCATCTAATAGTAATACCATAGTATGTATATGTATATATATGCTTTCAATAGCTGAAAATATACCTCAATTTCGCCGTAGTGAGCGTAGATGTCAGCTATGTACTTAACAAAATTAAGCGGATCCTTAGAGCTGCTGCTGTCCATAATGGGGTCCTCATCCTCCACATTTTCATCTTCTTCCTGCAGTAATCAACAGAATGTACCCAGTTAGCCTTCTGATATATAAAGATGGCAACTTTTAAATAAGAAAAGTGCTGCTAGTACTAGACAGTAAGACACACATACCATCCTACTTGGGTGTGCTTAACGAACATTGGCACATGAGCATCACAAGCCTCATCCTCAATATTCTCCACAGCCTTTGAATTTGCAGCAAATGAACTCACAGACACTTCCTTGGTTTCCTAATTACATGTAACCAATACCAAAAATTGTAATTCGAACTAAAATCGAAAAACCAAAAGGTAAACAAAAGATCCTTGTCATCATTCTAAAAGGTAGTACCTTCGGCTGCTGCTGGAGCAATTGTGCAAACCTCCTATACAAACATTGAAATATTAGTATCAAATTCTTCGGATAGCAACCTTCTCACTGGTCTATGTGGCAGATATGGCACATTTTTCTTACATTCCACAGCATCTTTTCTGAATAACAGCGGTTATAATGTCTCGAATTAGTTCATTAGTAAACTAAAGGCTACTAGAAAACGAATCAAACATATTAAAACATAAACATGGAAAGAGATTCATCAGACTGTAAGAAAATAAATGCAAACGAAGAACATAAATTTAAAAAATTCAGAAATTGAAAATTACGTTAAATTTACATCTGGGGTTCTGCTACGTCTCTTACCTTGGAAATTTGAAGGCCTAACGAGAGCTGGGTTGTTCTCCTTTGATCCCATTTATATCACCTCCAATAGGATATCACCATCAAACAACAGAAATCAAAATCCCCAAATTAAAATTTGAATGAAATCAGAAAAACTCATGATCTAGAACACGAAGAACAATAAGAAAACGTCCGAAAATCTGAAAAACAATCGAAACCAAGAACATTCGAAATTTCAAAAAAAAAAAAAAAAAACGAAAGATCGAAACAAACCCACAAACCTTTAAGAGAAATCAAGGGACTTGATCAAAGTAAGGCACATATCAAAGCATTGAATCTTCAAAATCCCGAGAGAGAAATGAATGGCATAGGAAGCCTCTCCCTCTCTCTCTCTCTCTCTCTCTCTCTCTCTCTCTGTATACACTGTGCGTCTGTGTTTCTTGTTGGGTTCTTTAAAAGGGAATTTGGGAGAGCAGGGCATGTGCTCGTCTCGTTTTGAATATAACGGCTACTAATTCCTGACCGTCAGAGCTTAATACAACTGAAAAGTCTCGATTCTGTCTCTAACGGCTATCTCGCTTTCGTGCTCCGTGCCCTATTTATTATTTCAAACGTTTTCTTGCAGGTCTCCGGCCCTTTTATGCTTTTTTTTTTTTTTTTTTTTTTTAATGAAAATTTGCTGATACTATTTATTTTAACGAAAATCATATTTTTACACTAAAAAGTTAATCCTGCTACTATTTCTTTATTTTGTCATTATCGTTAAAACTCAAATTTTTCAAACTTTTTTCATTATTATTTTTTTTGTTTTATTAGTTGGGCTGGGCCTTTTGACCCTTTTGTATCTAATAACAAGCCCCGTTGTACTATTTTTCTATATTTCCATGTCAACCCTAAACATAGAGCGCTGATGGATTCAGAATGTTGAAGTTTAGTCACCATAAAAAGGTTTACTCACTTTATAAGACTCATTCCTTACAAGTGATTGAATGATGGTGAATGAGGATCCTTTCCGGATCCTTGGACCCTCTTTGTGAGGATCCTGACGATCCTCCAATCTTGCCAGTTTATCGTACATCGTGCGGTCAATTTTCGTCAGATACGGTTTATATTCAATTTTAAATAAAAAAATTAAAAGAATTTTTAACCGCACGATGTATGATAAACAGACATAATTGAAGGATCTCCGGAATCCTCACAAAGAGGATTTGGAGAGGATCCTCATTCGAGTTGAACACCTAACAAACTGGTGTTGGTTGTAGTCTGTAATTTCAATAAGAAAAAGAAAAACACTACTAGAAAAATGCCTTACAACAAGCAAAAGATTTACATGGAACAATTTACCACCATCGTAAAGTCTCAATCTACTATTACAAGACCATACGTAACACTCTACAGACACATATAGCCTTGTATTGGTGATTGAGAACACCATTATAGGATAAACATGTTCCATGCAAGTGCATCATAACCCCTATTTTCAGTAAAAAATTAGCTTCCCAAACCACATTACACTATGTTTGGATGAGGGAAATAAACATGAAATTTGGGTAAAAGTTAGAATTTATAAATTGACAAGCATCACTTCTCTTGTTTGGATTCATAAACATAGAAATTTAACATTTCTATGTTGAAAAAAATAACTTGGAATTTGGGACCTCCAAATCCCAAATTCAAATTCCATGTAAATAGATATCATTTCTCAATTTCTATGATTAAAGAGTTTAAAAATAACAAATTCTATATTCAATTCCATTGTTCTTTTAGGTTAACCAAACAAGAAAATTTACAAATTCTAGAAAATAAAATCTCATCATTTCAATTTCTATCATTTTTAAATTTCTTAGTAATCTTAAATTTCTTCGCTCAAACATAATGTTAGTTGTAACTTGTATAAATGGCAAATTATCATTTACAAAAAAACTCGTTAAAACTAATAGAGGAGCTAAAATAAATCATAAATATATTTATAAGAGCAAACATAAAAATGAATTTATACAAAATCACTACATAAAAATGTACAAACGAAAATAGAGTGCAAACTTCCTACATACATTTCAATTTTTTTTTCTTTTTTTTTCACAATCCAAATTAATTACCTCCGGCTCAAAACCCTACCCCAGCCGCGCCGACTCCCATCGCAGCCTGCCTGTGCGGCTCCAGCTTCCTATTCTTCCAAAAACACGTCTCCGGCGCCGCCGCAAGCTTAGGCGCCGACCTCAGTGGCTCGGACTTGCATCGCGTCAGCACGAACGGCTCATAAGCAGCGGACCCCACCAGCTTCTGCCCGATCATCGTCGCCATCGACTGAACCGGAAATGAACAAGACGACCTAGGCCGCTGCATCGTTATCGGTTGCTGAACCACCGGCGCCAGAGGAGGCTTCGAGTCGATGCTCACCCGCTTCTTCGCCTTATCCGGTCCGTCGATTTTCTTGACGTGTCGCTCCGGCAGGCACCGGATGAAGTCCGTGCTGCACACCCAAGTCTCCTTCGACACCTCCATCGACAGCTTCGGCTCGCACATCATTAACAGCAGGCAGTCCGGTAACACAGACTTTTGACCGGCGTTCTTGGACCCTGCACCCAGTTGGGTATTCCGGTTATCGAGCTCCGGTATGTTCGGGTTCGGGTTCGGGTCTATCTACCATCACTCTATCTGTTTCTTCTTCCGTTGACTCCTCTGCAACTTCAGCCTCTGTTTTCTCTTCTAGTTCTTCCGACTGTACAGAGTCAATGGAAGATTCTGGAATCTTCTCCTCACTCACCTCCTCTTCTCTCTCTTCATCTTCTTGCTCTTGCTGCGCTTGTTCTTCAAGTTCAATATTTTCTGGATCTACGACAACTTCAGTCGAACACAAATATTCCGACACTGCTCGCTGTCCTGTCGCATCCGATTCTTGTTCCTCATCTTGTTCGAAAAGCTCTTCTTCCACTTGGCATTCGACTTTCTCTTCGATCTGTCGCACTTCATCGAAAATTTGCAAACATTTTTCTTGGTTCTCACCCAAATCTTCTTTCAATTCCTCGTCTTCTTCGAAACCCAAACTTTCTAGTTCTTCCAACTCTCCATGCTCTTTGCCTTCTGTAACCCATTCCTCACACTCTCCATCCTCCCGCTCCGCCGCCGCCGCCTCCGCCTCCAACCCAGTTTCCATTTTCTCAACCACTTCTCCAGCACCTTTCTCTGCTTTTACATTACTACCCTCATTGTTCCCCTCTTGATCTTCTTCTTCATTTTCCTCAGCAGCAGCAGGCATCTCCCAGAATCTATTAGCAAGAGCAGCCATTTTAACCGGATCAGATCTACACCTCATGAGCAAAAGAGCATTCTTCGGAGGCGCACAAATACTCACTCTCCCTCCTCCTTCCTCCTCCACTCCACCCTCATTGAATCTCTCTTCCTTGAACTCAATCCCTTCAAACAATTGCCTCCGCTGGCTACGGCCGCCGCTACTATCGCTATCCTTCTCCGTCCTCTCCTGATCTTCCCCCACCACTAGCTCAATCTCCCTCCCTTTCCCGTCCCCGTCTTGCAACGCCACAAACCACCGCGCAAAAACCGCACCGCAAGAAGACGAGCCTCCACTCTCTGACCTCACCTCCTTACTGCTACTACTCTCTTCCTTCTCCTTGTCATTCGCCAAACACGAAGACCGGTTCGGAAACAGGCAGTTAAACTCCGACCCAAAAGCCCTCAGGGCCTCGCAAATCGTCAGGGGAAGATGAACCCACCTCTGGTTCCTCTGCCTCAAGCATTCCTGCTGATTTTTACTATGACTACTACTTATCTGGTGATTCGGAAAGTGCAAACCTTGGAAGTTGTTGTTGTAAAGATCTTGACTTTGAGTAGCTAAGTTGTTGGAGCTCTCTGTTCTTCTGAAACTCGCCTCGCTTCCCCTGCGTCTGGATCTGGTAATTATCCTCATTTTCTTGCCCTGTTTCTTGGTCTTCACCCTCACCTGTCCGATACACGTGACTTTAGGGGAGGAGGGTTCTGGGTTTTCGATACCACACCCGCGTTTTTTGTTTATACCGCCGTTCGGGAACATCGGAGAGGCTTGGCCACCCTTGATGCTACCGCTGGTTTTGAGGCGGCGGCTGAGGGAAGAGGAGAGGGAGAATTGGGAGTTAGGGTCTCCGCCTCTGGCGCGGCCGGGGCTAAGGAGGGACTTGGAGGAGAGCTTCATGGAGGAGGAGGAGGAAGAGAGGCGGGATGTGGTGAAGCAGACGAAGAACTCGCTGGTGGTTGTACTAGCTGTGCTGCTGCAGCTTTTGGTGTGATGGGGTCTCTGATCTGACTCCATTGTTTCTTCTCATTATAACGTTTTACTGAGCTGTGGATGTGGCATTAGCATTAAACAGAAGACGATAGGGTTGTGAGGTTATGATTGATGGAAGATTTGTTTGGTTTGTATGGTGGGTTAGGCTGCTGCACAGAGAGAGAGAGAGAGAGAGAGTTATTGGTAATGGAAGGGTGACAGAATGGAGTTTGTCTTTATCATAATGTAACCCAGTAGTGTAAGGATCTGGTTACGTTGGGCCTCTCCTTGCTGTGCATGCGTTATAATTACATCATAATAATACCCTTGGTGTTGTTTACACCATATAAAAGGTAGTGCTCTCCATACTCGAATTTTTACTTATCACACATTCTTATTAATTTTCAGTTATTAGATCAAATTAGTTAAAGAAGATCAATAGCCAATAACTAACAAGAATGAGAGGTAAAATGAGTGTGTGAATAAGGGTGAGAGGTAACATATGGTAAAAAAATGTCATTTAGTTGTATTTTATTCACTTATAAGTTAGAGGTTTGAATTTGAATCTTATGGACGAGAGTTTGATAATATATTCTCTCTATAGTGTAAATAAGTTATTCGTAAAAATTACGATGCAAATATGTTATAAGCGTAATATTGCTTTCATAGAATATCACTTAGATGTTATGATGTATTGTGTTGTGTGTGGGTAGATGGATAGTTGGAGTACTTCGTAGGTTGGGGTGTTTTAACACTTGGGTTACTTCAACTCTGAGTTACTTAAACTCTCATAGAATATCAATCCAAGTGTTATGATGTGTTGTGTGTAGTTAAATGGATAGTAGGAGTATGTAGTATTTTAGATGTTTTAACCGTTAAATTTTTATTTAAAAATGTAAAAATTAAAACCTAACCATTAAGAAACTCAAAAAAAATTGGAGTGAGCATGCAGGGGATTTTTGCTTTTTAGATTTCGCCTTTAGGTGGAGAATCTTGGTATGCAAATGTGAAAGTCATGTAAAAGAAAAGACAGTTCACCAATGGGTGTGCTATCCACATACTTTTTTTACTTCTCACACACAATTTGTTAATTTCTGTCCGTTGATCTTCTTCACTTTATTCGATCTGACGGCCGAAAACCAAAAATATGTGGAAGAAGTAAACAGGGGTGTGTATACACACCCCTTCACCAAAGATCAGCGAAAGAAGAAGTAAGATTCTATCCCTTCCTATTTTTATTCTCTTTCTCTTCTCTTTTTACATTTTACTTTTTGTCTTATTTTCTCTCTTAAAAAAATTAATATAAGATATTAACGTGACTTAATTATAATCATTCAAGTAAAACGAGAAAGAAAAGAAGAGAGATTAAAAGAAAAAAGAATCATCATCCGCCAAACAAACCAAAAAGTTAGGGGAAAAAAAATGAAAAGTACGTACCTCATAGTTCATGTTGATTAATGGTATTACCACTTTAATAAAGTAACATAATAAGCATCTTTTATAAAAAGCCACATTACTCATTTACTATTTATACTCTCAATAATAATTCCACAAAGCATTTCGACAACTATTTGTCATGAAGTTATTAGAAAGTGGTGAGATTTGTTGGTTGGACGTGGTCCTGTGGATGACTTGTATTGTTTAAACATGTTAGTGGATTGTGCTTGTCGTTACAACTTTTTTAACTGAATGTATTCTTGGTTCAAACCTTTTTATTGAATTTATATCTGAATTCTTTTTATCGAATCCATATTATAGATATAGACTCTCGTACTCATTTAGAATTTGAGCATTCAAGTTAAAATCGATTTGGAGACGAGAGAGTGCTGAAAATAATTTCCTAAACTATTAGAAGGCGAGCACTCAACCGACCATCGAGTGGCAATGGATAGAGAAACACGAGACCAAGATTATAATTCTTTAACGCGAGATTGACATTCTCAACATAAATACAAAGGAATAATAAACCCGTAAAAGAAAATTTTCTCACCCCTAATTATCTACAACGAAATATCAACTTCCGACTCAATAATACATAGTAAACTTAAAATACCGCTCCAATAACATACCCATCGTAGAAAATCTCTTCACCACTCCTCCACCTCCATGGAGGGACATTTTTTTTTATGAAGAAAGAGTGTGAAAATGATCCTCTCCGGATCCTCTTTGTGGGGATCCGGAGATCAATCAATTATGTACGTTTATCATACATCGTGCGATCAGTTTTTGTTAGGTACTATTTATATTCAATTTTAAAATTTAAATGATTTCTGACCGCACGATGTACGTTGACATGACATAATTGATTGATCTTTCGGATCCCACAAAGAGGATCCTTTTCCTGAAAAAGGGGTCCTCAAGCAACGTGGACAAATGATGGTAAAAGTGGAAAAGAATTATCTCTGGATCCCTTTCCATCTAAACCTCATGACCTACAAATTCGGATCTTTGAAATTTGATTCAATGACTACAAATAAAAAACTTTATTAAAAGTTATAATAATTTTAACCTGCAGATCAAATTTTAAAATCTTAGATTTATGCATCATAAGAATTATGTGGAAGGTATCAAAAAGGATTCCTTTCCGGTAAAAGTAAAGTAATAATAAAAAGACAAGGGAGAGAGAGATAGAGAGAGAGAGCAGTGGGTCTTGGAAATATCAAATCACCAATTTCACCCCATTTTTTTCTCACTACTTCAGGCCGTTTTTCTTGCCTTCCCCTCAGCAGCTAGATGACAAGGACGCAGGGGCAATCTTGATATTAGATGCCAAAAAGGTGGGCCTTTTCTGAAATCGAGTTCACATGGGGGTCGTGAAAAACAGATAAGAATCCAAAGGCAGCGCACGTGACTGAAACGATTACTGTCATCATCATCATCATCACCATTATCAAGCTTAATTTACTATATAAGTATTATTGGTACTTCAAAATTTTTATTCTACACTTTTTATAAATGTTTTTTTCTTTCCAAATATAAAATGTTTGGAATATAAAATTAAATTTTTGAAGTATCAATAATAATTTTCATTTATTATCTTACTTAGTGGAAAATCCGTTGACCCACGCGCGATAGTAGATCGTGGTCAACAATCCGTCGTCTTTGTTCAAATGTACTATAGTCTCGCGCTTCACATAGAGAAGCGCACAGAAGCAACCCGTGCCCGTCGTGCTATTGGAGCTATCATATCTTTTCGAAAGCCCAATATCAAGAAGCTCGAGCTTAATAACTCGGGTTCATGACGTGTTGAAAGGATAATATGCTATGATATCATGATATACTTTATATGCCCATGTAGAGCCACGACCAACGTTACTAATATTGTTCTTAACCACCTATTATTAGGTGTTGGATCTCATTACAAAAGAGCTCGATGATATCAGGAGATGCATGGAACAAGTTGGATTTTATTCTAAGTATTAAGTCATCAGGAGATGCATTCTAATCACAATCAAAGATCTAACACAACATTCTCAAACATTTACAAATTGGCAACCGGGTAAAAAAAAATCTTTCCAACTCAAACTTGCAACTCCTGTACAACTTCCAGTTTTTATTGCATTGAGAAGGCCTAAGATGCTCCAAACAAATGGTAAGATTATAACCGAGGAAGATGCTAAAGCCAAATAGAGCGGTAAATGGTAGAAGTGTACCGGCAAAACCAGTACAGGCTAGGTAATTTTCTTCAGTCGAGTTCGAGTACTATTTTCCCATGGATCTGCTTCTTCTCCCTTGCCTTGTGGGCCTCTATCACTTGAGTGATGGGAAATGTTTTCTCCACTGGTATATTCAACTTTCCGGCCTCAGACAGCCTCCGAATCTCATCCAACCCTTCTGAGTCGGCTCTCATATAAGTCCACCAGTACTCTGTTCCATCAATAGAAAAAAATACAACCTGTGTAAATAACAACCTAAAGATGCCTTCGACACTTTCCATACGCTTCACTATACCAACAATGAGCTTAAAGTATGGAGCATGATGAAACATGTACCCAAAAGAAATGTAGGATTTACCTATTCCGTGAGAATACTGGTACTGAATCTGTTTCTTCAGTAAAGCAGCTGTAGCAACAGGAAGCCCAATAGCTATCCCATAACTATCAGCCAAAGATGCGGCGTCACCCTACAAGAAAACGAGAATAAAAAGCCTAATGAGCATTTGTGGAAATACTCTGAAAGGAAACATCAAAGGTCCCTTTGAGAGAAGTACTGCTAACAGTTCCCATCTCCTACCTGAAGTGTCATGTAGTGCCCACCTCTCTTTAAAAGGTTTATGCATATTCTTTCGGTCTCTGGACCACCAATGGTATCCAATACAGCATCAAACTTCCCCTTTTTTGTAAATTCGATGTTCTGTAAATTAAAATGTTAACTCAAGGAAGAAATCAATCTTGATTTTAATACCCATATGAAGCAACCTTCTAAATGAGGTTCACTCAGCTCATGAGATGAAATAAAAAAGCTAGGTATTAGTTGATTACATCATCACCTCAGCAGTATAGTCAACAGCCTGCTCAGCACCGGCTGTCAATACTCGATCTATACTTTGCTTTCCGCATGTAGTTGTAACATGGCAGCCTCTGGCTACTGAAATCTGAATTGCGGCCAAACTACAGCTCCTCCACCACCCACAACTACAGCCGTTGGCTGTGGAGATAAGATGCAATAACAAAGGGATGCAAAATTGTTAATGACAGCTTCCACCAAGATAAGATACAATAATCAAATCTCTAGATGACAAGGACGCAGGGGCAATCTTGATATTAGATGCCAAAAAGGTGGGCCTTTTCTGAAATCGAGTCACATGGGGGTCGTGAAAACAGATAAGAATCCAAAGGCAGGCGCACGTGACTGAACGATTACTGTCATCATCATCATCATCATCATCACCATTATCAAGCTTAATTTACTATAGAAGTGTTATTGGTACTTCAAAAATTTCATTCTACACTCTTCATAAATGTTTTTTTCTTTCCAAATATAAAAAGTTTGGAATGTAGAATTAAATTTTTGAAGTATCAATAATAATTTTCATTTATTATCTTACTTAGTGGAAAATCCGTTGACCCACGCGCGATAGTAGAGCGTGGTCAACAATCCATCGTCTTTGTTCAAATGTACTATAGTCTCTCGCTTCACATAGAGAAGCGCACAGAAGCAACCCGTGCCCGTCGTGCTATTGGAGCTATCATATCTTTTCGAAAGCCCAACATCAAAAAGCTCGAGCTTAATAACTCAGGTTCATGACGTGTTGAAAGAAAAATCTGCTATGATATCATGAGATACTTTATATGCTCATGTAGAGCCACGACCAACATTACCAATATTGTTTTTAATCACCTATTATTAGGTGTTGGATCTCATTACAAAAGAGATCGATGATATCAGGAGATGCATGGAACAAGTTGGATTTTATTCTAAGTATTAAGTCATCAGGAGATGCATTCTAATCACAATCAAAGATCTAACACAACATTCTCAAACATTTACATATTGGCAACCGGGTAAAAAAAATCTTTCCAACTCAAACTTGCAACTCCTGTACAACTTCCAGTTTTTATTGCATTGAGAAGGCCTAAGATGCTTCAAACAAATGGTAAAATTATAACCGAGGAAGATGCTAAAAGCCAAATAGAGCAGTAAATGGTAGAAGTGTACCGGCAAAACCAGTACAGGCTAGGTAATTTTCTTCAGTCGAGTTCGAGCACTATTTTCCCATGGATCTGCTTCTTCTCCTTTGCCTCGTGCGCCTCTATCACTTGAGTGATGGGAAATGTTTTCTCCACTGGTATATTCAACTTTCCGGCCTCAGATAGCCTCCGAATCTCATCCAACCCTTCTGAGTCGGCTCTCATATAAGTCCACCAGTACTCTGTTCCATCAATAGAAAAAAATACAACCTGTGTAAATAACAACCTAAAGATGCCTTCGACACTTTCCATACGCTTCACCATACAAACAATGAGCTTAAAGTATGGAGCATGATGAAACATGTACCCAAAAGAAATGTAGGATGTACCTATTCCGTGAGAATACTGGTACTGAATCTGTTTCTTCAGTAAAGCAGCTGTGGCAACAGGAAGCCCAATAGCTATCCCATAACTATCAGCCAAAGATGCGGCGTCACCCTACAAGAAAACGAGAATAAAAAGCCTTATGAGCATTTGTGGAAATACTCTGAAAGGAAACATCAAAGGTCCCTTTGAGAGAAGTACTGCTAACAGTTCCCATCTCCTACCTGAAGTGTCATGTAGTGCCCATCTCTCTTTAAAAGGTTTATGCACATTCTTTCGGTCTCTGGACCACCAATGGTATCCAATACAGCATCAAACTTCCCCTTTATTGTAAATTCGATGTTCTGTAAATTAACATGTTAACTCAAGGAAGAAATCAATCTTGATTTTAATACCCATATGAAGCAACCTTCTAAATGAGGTTCACTCAGCTCATGAGACGAAATAAAAAAGCTAGGTATTAGTTGATTACATCATCACCTCAGCAGTATAGTCAACAGCCTGCTCAGCACCGGCTGTCAATACTCGATCTATACTTTGCTTTCCGCATGTAGTTGTAACATGGCAGCCTCTGGCTACTGAAATCTGAATTGCGGCCAAACCTACAGCTCCTCCACCACCCACAACTAACAGCCGTTGGCTGTGGAGATAAGATGCAATAACAAAGGGATGCAAAATTGTTAATGACAGCTTCCACCAAGATAAGATACAATAATCAAATCTCTACAAGCTTCGACCATGGCAACTATCAACAGTACAACTATCCAGTTCAAACCTAAACCAAAATAATATAAAGCTTAAGCTGCCTCTCAATCCACGTTTCACAAAGACACAGCATCAAAAATAAATGTCATATTTTCTTTTATACCTTTTACCTAAAAAATGATGGGAAGGTCGTAAAATTTTGGACAGAAAAGTTCAACATCTCTAGTAAAGTGAAACAAATTTCATTACTCAAAGAAACATCCGGACAAAGACAACTTCTCTTATACTGTTAACTAGAAAAAGGTGAACAAAAGAAGATTAGAATAAATACTACCCCATGTGAAAACGACAACAGATTTTGCAATCGAAAAAAAAAAAAGAAAAGAAAATGACAATGGCTTCCTGCTGACAACAGTTTTAACAGAAGAATCATGATACGTCAAAGGAAGGAACTTAATATCCGAGATATACTAACATACCCCTCAGCTATCCTAGCTGTACTTATGAGAGCTCGCCAAGCAGTCAGGGAAGCAAATGGAATGGCACTAGCTTCCTAGAATCACAAAGTAAGATAAAGCTAAATTGAGTTGTCAGACAGCAATAAACGGAATGTGAATTTAAAAACTCTCATCTACATAACAACATATCTCACCATGAATTCCTAATGTATACAGAAATCATGAAAGAATTGATAACATGACATATTATGTTCATATTGCATCATGCATGGAATTTCACGAATCACCACTTTCAATATTTTTTCAATAAAGTTAACAATGGGAGTAGAAACAGGTAAAAAAAAAAAAAAAAAAAAAATTCCAACAAAGGATTCGATATGCAACCTCCCCTTTCCGGACCTTAGTTAACCTACAAGATCCGATATTTCCTCTTATTGCTATCTGTCCATTTTCACAAAGCAACATACTATTTAATAATTGTAGCTTGATTAACTCTGAGTTCCATTCCATATCAGGTAGTTTCTACTGCAGTTCATCTAACCAATCTAAGCTAAAAAAAAAAACTCTTTTTTTTCTTCTCTTTCCGCTGAGCAAGGTGGAAATTTCAAATTTGAATGGTTGCTATCTTGCCTCTTCACTGGGTTTTGAAGCTAGTAAACCTTTCAAAGCTAGTATTTCACAAGTAATCAAATGACAAAAAAACCAAAAAAACAAAAAAGAAAAGAAAAAAAAAAAGAAAGAACAAGCAAACATTTTTTGGTAATTATAAATTTCTAGCACCCATTAAACTATCAACTGGGCAACTAAAAACTGATCCATCCGCTAACACAAAATCAATGGCATGAAGAATAATGGAACACTAAAGCAAAATCAAATCATTAAAATCCAAAACAGGTAACAGTATACAGTTCTTTGGTAAACCAATTACAACAATATTTACCACGTGTGTAACTGATGCTGGTTTTGGTGCAAGTTCCTCTTCTGAAAGAATTGCATAGTCAGCATAAGTACCCCTTACAGCAGTAGGATGCAATGCACCAAAAACTTCTTGTCCCACACTCAAACCTCGAACTGAATCTCCCACAGCTGCAACATCACCGCTAATATCACGACCCAAAATAAGAGGTAGATGAGGTCCAAATATGGAACGACCATAGCCAGATCGCATCTGAAAAAAAAATATAAAAACCAGAACACCGAATATAAAGATAATCTTGTAGCATGGCATAACCATATTAATGACCTGCAACCTCAGCCGTATGACAAAAATAAAATCAAATAACTCTATGTGAGTTGGAATCGAGGCACTCAAGTCATCTCTCAGCTGTTTGTCACAATCAGAAAAAGCAACTGAATGTCAAATAGATCGGCAACATTTTACAATGTTAAAGAACTAAAATTAGAGCTTTAACAAAATTAAATCAATAGAACACAAAAAATGATATTTGGGTTCGAAAATGACTTTCTATCTGGTCACTAATACAGAAAATAACTATAATTATCACCAAGTAACAGTTAATACTTCAGACTAATCAGCCTAATATAATTAATTTAAGCTCCAATTGTATATTATTAAGACAAATGAACTAACACCCTCAGAAGCATCATTACATTATAACTAGAAAAGTATGCGTGTGTGTGTGTATTGCTACAAATTTTCAAGTTACATTGCTACAAATGAACACAATCATTACATTATATTGCTACAAATTTTCAAGTTGTTGTTGGAATTGGAGGAACGAAACGGAGAGAAGAGCAAAAAATCAAATGATCATTTCCCTCATTTTCTCGGCAAACAAACAGAACTTAGAAATCTAAAAAAGAGGTAAAATTAAAAATAAAAAAAATAAAAAAGGTGAAATTTGACTCACTCTGGTATCGAGGGGATTGATGGAGACGGCGCGAGAGCGAACAAGGACCTCATGGGGCTTGAGATCAGGGACTTGGACAATGGGCCGGAGCTCCAGAACGTCCGGCCCGCCGAAGCGCGGCAGCACCACGGCCCTGCAGCTGGTGACGAAGCGCCGGAACCTTACCTTGAGGTGGCGATTGGAGTTGGAGACTGAGGCGCTGAAGCTAGGGGGCCGGAGAATTCGCATTGTCGCTTTGAGATCAAACCCCAAAAGCTCAGTACATCAGAGAGAGAGGAGAGATTTAAATGTTTGAAAGTGAAGCAAATGTGGGAAGTGAATCAAGTGCGCCTTGTCGCCAGAAGCTCGGTACATCAGAGAGAGAGAGAGAGAGAGGGAGAGAGACGTGTCTGTGTTTCGGTCCGCAGAGAAGGTGAGTAGTTTCGGTCGTTATGTTCCGCCGTGCGTCTTGTCACCTTTGTTCGGTTGGATTTTGTAGGGACCACATTTGTTTGGGCTTTGATTCAAATTCATTTTCGACAAAAATCCAACTAATAACTCTCATTTACCAGTAACCACTAGACAAGTGGCTTCTGTTAGCTTTTATTAAAACGACATATTTACACTAAACTCATCTAACTACAAAGGATAATTCACTTTTGCCAAGATTTATGTTTGTTAGTTCGAGTAATATTCATTAATCTATCGACGAGTAATATTCACTAACATTAATGAAAAAATTTCTTAATTAATTTCTCAATAAAGAGTGAGCCCCGCACCTGCCTCGTCATCAACAAACAAATTGACAAAAAAGAAGACGGAAGTTTGACATTACAACAGATTCGTAAGTTTGTGTATAACATTGCAACGTTCAAAAGTTGGGATGGTAAAATATAATTTATATTAAATAGTAGAAAGTTTTGGATTGAACAATTGAAGGTTAGAGTTGAAATTATAAAATCTCAGAGAGTTCTTTCCAACCATTCTTGTCATTCAGAAATTAGTATACAGGGGAAACTCATACATTGATGAAAACTGTGTTGACACAAAAGGGGCTCACAAATTTGTCAAAAGCAACCTACCAATTTCCCTTTGGCACAGTTGAGACCGAGCCACCGGGAGCGACAACCGTAGCCAGCTCGCTTGTGATTATGGTACTACTACTTAGAGGGGCACTAGAATTCCCTGATCTAACAACGGTGCTGATTTCAGCTCTTCACAACTCTGGAGTTGTAGTTTGGGTAGGTAAAGAAGCAGTAACATGAAAAGTTGGGGGCACGGCATTCTGCTGCTTTTGCATCATTTCGCCAGAAGTAGCAGACGCCATATATTGCTCCATACTTTTCTGCTCCGCTGATATTGCCTCGTTCACAGCATGAAGTTGTTGCAACCTGTAATCTGTTTCAGGCCGACGGCAGACCTTTCTCAGTGGAACAATTTCCTGGCACAATGAATGTTAAGAGCCAAAAACAAAAGGCTACAGAAATCAGTAATTGTTAAAAAAGGTTAAACTGCAGGAGAAGGATTTACTGTCAATGTGTCCGATACATTAAGTGCAAACGAAAAGTTCCCTTGTTGTTCGGGGATGCAGTGTCCCATTTGGACAATAACTGTTTGGTGACCAAAAGAACGTACCTTCAGAAATTAAAAGAACTAAATACGACAATAATTCGTCATATGAGCATGTCAAGAAAACATATGATTTTCTTTCCCGTTATAACTTCAAGTTTAATTTAAGGGAGCACATAGCTTTTTCATCAGCTGCTTGTGTCAGTACCTAAGTTGGATTGATGTATATTAACACTTTAAAATGAATTCAAGCAATAACACAAGGAAAAAGAGAGAGAACGAGAGAGACTAAACACACGGAAAAGAAAATATACAGGCAGTCTTATACCTCGGACTGATCATGAACATAGCGCACTAGAAACCTACATCGACATCCTCTTACATCATGTCTTCGTCTTTGAGCATCAAGGACATGGGCATCAAAGTACAAAGCGTGCTCTTTACCTTCCTGAAAATTTCAAATCATACAATTCCCAATAACTGATCAGAAATAACTTCTCTTAACTTTTAATTTCTGCCATTGAATTTCTTTTTAACATTGGTCTAATATGGTTCTTTCAAAGACATTAGACATAAATGCCACCTGAAAGCATAGTATGAGATCTCCGGGGAGAACTGCAACGCACTCGGATGATTCACATGGGAGAGAGCGCTGCCTGACATGCTTTCGTACAGTAACCCACTCATCCTCCTCTGGTCCAAATCCAGCAAACCGAACCAGAACTTCCTGAAACAGCCAGCAAGATTCATTTTACAACAGATGTCATAGTATTTAATGGGATTGAAGGCCGGTTCAATTTGAGTTCAAGGATAACATTATAATAAAAAGCTATAATCGAGTCCTTTTTTAACAACTTGCAGTAAATGAAGGAAACGGAGCTTAGAAAATTACCGGATTACCAGTCTCCAAATTTTTATGAGATAAAAAGTTTGCAACATCATACCTGAACACAAAAGACAATGAAATCATAAGAATAATGATAATCCCCTTATGAGTCTAGTTATTGGAAGGAGAGAAACACTAACAAGTCGACAACTAGAACTCATAAAAATAAAAGAAACGACATACTGACCATGCACCATCCCTGCCAGATTTAGCTTCAAACTCAAAGATAGCATTTTCAGGAGCACCCTTTCCTGAGCCTGGAACTGGTCAATAAATGAAAATAAGGGCAAGAAAAAATCCAATGTACACTTAAAACATAGATAAAACGGACAAACAAAGTAACACCGTTCTATAGCTTCTGTTTCTATTGTGGACGTTAAGCAGCATTTAAAACGGGATTCTATTGTCTATGTTACTTCTGATATGGCCAAGAATAATAGAATAATAACAAATTGTCATGTTTCTTGTTAATAATGCGCATACTAACCAAACGATTTAGACTTGGTCGATGATGTTGTATGCAAATTTCTTCTACATTTTGATATACCGTCAATATGACATTCAAAATGTATAAATACATTGCCAGGCCCACAGATACAGAGCTAGATATGCAATTTTTGAAGTATGTGATGTTTATTAAAATGGAAATACATAAATCTTTATCTTATCAACTCCCAACTTCTGTTATTTCTATTTATATTTCAAATCACAAAGGGAAAATGAAACTGCACATGAAAACTTGAATGCACAAACAACAACAACAAAGCCTTATCCCACTAAGTGGGGTCGACTGTATACTTGAATGCACAAATAAAGTGAAAATAATAGAAAGGTACTCAAATTGTACCAGATGCCTAAGGTAATATGCGGTACCTTATTGTCAATCAAAACAAAAAAAGTACGCAGCGTTCCTTACCAGGTAAAGGTTCAAGGCGTCAGCATAATGTCTTCAAATTTTCAGCACATACTTTTCATTGGGTTGAACCAAGATAAATTTTCTTTTTATCTTTTAACGCCTTTCATTCAAAATTGATATAAAACAAGCAATCACACACATGAAATAACTCCGTACTTCATGTCAAAAACTCTGACGTGCTAATGATCTTGTTCTTTCTCTGAACACTTTTTTATGATAGTAATCTTTTATTGCTTGCTAACTAGAATTTGTAAGGTTTTTCATTCAGCAGTGATCTTCAGACATACTTTCAAATATGCAACCAAAGAATTAGATATGTTTCCCTTTAAAGTGAAGAAGAAGAAATGAAATACAAATCACTTTGTGTGCACCAGTAAGAAAAATTTGATAACAAAAAGAGGCGTCCTTATATTCTCTGCTTTTAATCCTGGGCTATAAAAAGATGATATGTTATCATTTGGGGAGTTGATATTATGTAGGCCATCTCATGTGTCATATGATATGACTCATACCAAACAGAACTAAAGTTGAAAGCAAAATGCCTACTTTATTGGTTAGTACCTATTCACAATTCATGTTTCTTCAAATGTAAAAGAAACTGCGGCAGTATTACTATTCTTCTTTTTTCTTTCATACAAGAAGTGGATGCACACCATTTGTACAGGGAGAAATTTCTCTTATCAATGGTCAAATATGTTAGGCAATGATTTTCTAAAACCTTCAAACTGAACCTCCTTGATCAGAATTTCACTGTAATTCTTTTTCTAAAACCTACAATGTCCTTCCTTGGCAATTCATGCATGTGTATAAATGCACTCAAACGTACACACCAGTTAACATAAATGATTACAGTAAGTTATATCTGAAGCATCTTATATACTTAAAGACCAAAAGATGGCTTTATTCGGATATACAGTTTAACGTATTTCTAGAATATTAAGCTTCAAAGTTGTTAATTGACCACAAATCTAGCCACAAGGAAGTTCAAGATATTGTGGCACATACAGATGATTAAAGAAACAAATTCAAGTAAACACCATTAATATAGGATACAAAACAAACATTCCAACAAGTCACATGAGCATATAATACCACCAGAAAAGTATGCCCTCGACAAAGGAAATTGAGAAAGAATATTAAATTAAAAATAGATAGGTTCCATCCTACCAGAAGGAACATGTACAGGAGCAGCAATCTGCTGAGGGCCTTGAGGAACATTTCTCGCTGCAGCCAAATCATCGCGAGACATAGGTGACACGTCTAACTTACCAAGAACCTTGCTTGATTTTGCCCTAATAGCATATCGCCTATTTTGGAACCAATTCCAAACCTATAAATATAATGAAGATTGTAAATTACAAACAGAGTTAAAATGTCGTTTCAAATCAATTTCAAAGCCGATAAATCAGGCTCTAAATTACAAGCAGATTTAAATGATTTTCCTTTACAAAAAATTACAAAGGAAATTGTCATACTTGCTTCATTTGTACTGTAATCTTGCCCTTTCGCTCTGGTGATTCACTACAGCAAAGAAAAATGTCTCAGATTTTTTAAGCTTAGAAGAACATAATCTATTCAAATTCTAAAACAAGGCACACCTGAACTTATCCGCAAGGGCCATAAGCACTTCACGTGATGGCATTGTGTTATTGTATTGTTGCAGAATAGCTTCCATCTCCGTAACCTAATTATCACCAATTAGTACATGCTGTCATTAACATTTAAAATAGCAACTACCATGAAGAAAAATTAATCAGTAATCATCCTATAATAACCCTCTGAAGAACGGTTTTTGTGTCAACGGGTATTGTTGTAAAATAGATAAACAACAAATAAATAAAAAGGAAAAGGAAAACCGGAATGTGCAAATCTGAACAACACACATAAGAACGACGGAGGAAAAAGAGAAAAATAAGAATGTGCCGTAACCCACAATGTATTATATGTAGTGCAATTACCCAAGCTCCTGATAAGACTCACTTTTGGTTCTTCAGAAATGTTTATCAAGCACTGCAACCAATAACCCACTGAGAGGATGTTCGTTTCTTTAATCTCCATGTTTGCTTTTCAAATTTTTAATTTGTTGCCTTAATTTTCAGCAACAGGGTTTACTACAAGACTAAGATCAAGCACCAGTGCACCACCATTTTCAAAAATTAAATCCGGTATGAAACATGAAAATGGGTACATAGTCTTTGACTTCTTTGGTGGTTTAAGTTGTTAACTGTGCATTCCATATTACTTCCTTTAGTTTATAAACTTGTCCTGCAAAGCATTCAGATTCACTTTCATGCACTCACGACTTAATTCTGTTTCTTTATACATTTTCATATTTCTAATTATCCCATCATAGATGGATTCGTTAGATTTTGCTTGGCATTATTCTTTCTTTCTATATAGCACGAAAAAGGTTCTACTCAAAACACATCAAAAGTCATTATTAAGATGCGCGCAGCGCGCGTGGAAAAAGGTAATAAAGAAAGCCTTTCGTGCACGTGGACAAAGACAATAAAGAAACCTTTTGCACGGGCCGGAGCACGTACTGAAGCCTATTGGTAAAAAAAGTCAGAATCCAATCATATATGCATGTGGAATGTGGATATGCATACATAACAGGTTGGACCAGGTAAAAAATGAAAATTTCCTTCGTAGGAATTCTCCATTCCTTATGAATAATGACTTCTATACCTACATTGCATATGTTGTGATTCCAGCAACTGATTTTAGAGCATTTAAACATTCGATTGTGTGGAGGAAAGATATGATTATCTGTTCAACAGTATTGACATCCAAAGACAATCTTATGCAAAATGGAAAAGAACTATATTTTATGCTTTTAACTAATACAGAGCTCTCATATGGGAAACTAACACCAATAACGGTTATTCAACCCAAACTGGACTTTATGGTCCTACCATGCAGACACCATTAGCAGATTCCAATTTGATATCGAGAAGAGAGCTAAATGTTAGAATCAAAAAAGGCACAAAAGTTTTATTTGAGATGTACTCTAAATCTTCAATCCCAAACCCTTCAAATGCAATGGGATCACCAAGCGATGCTTTCATTTTCCACCTGTGCTTTTTGTTAAACAGCAATACAGTTGTGAAAAGATGCATGATTTCCGAAGCTATGGCCATTCCATTTAAATATTTCTATTAAGTATCTAAAGCGTGGGGATCGCGCATGGAAAGAGCCCGCCAAATTCAACTACAAACCAACAACATTATCAACACAAAGGCATTATTTGCAGACAGATCAGCAAGACAACCATCCGATCCATATGAATTATACCACGAAAAGCTTTATCAAACAGAGTTTAACAATATTTTTCAAGCATACGAAGATCGATCAACTGAATTCCAAATGTTCAAAACTTTTAATTTTCCAAGAAAAAAACTGTGGTAACATCACGAAAAACCCAAAACAGGAATCGAAAGCACACACCAAAAATTAAAAAAAAAAAAAAAAAACTGAAATCTAACAAACCCATCTAGAATCACGACTCTTAGTTCAAAATTGGACACTTTCTACTTACAAATACACAAAATTTGAAACACCACGCTTTCCAAAATCCAACTTCAACTCAAAATTTAGTACACGCACAAAACAAAAGAATAAAAAACCAACAAATAACCATCAAGACTCCACCTCTAACTTCGAAATGCAGCAGATTCCCAAACACAAACAGCAATCCAAATCAACAAAATCGTCAAAAGAGGAACAAAATTGAAGAACAAGAAGAAGAAGAAGAAGAAGAAGAAGAAGGAGAAGATAAGGTACCTCAGACTGGACGAAGCGGAAGGCAGGGCCTCCGTTGCTCGGAGGCCTACCCATGGCAGCTCTCTCTCTCTGCGTTCGGAACTCAAACGAGCAAGAGAGAACTTCAAATTTGTGTGTTTATTTTTGTGCAGAAGAAGCAAAAGGGAAGTTAAGAGACGGAGACTGGAGAGTTGGGTTTTTCGAAAAATGCGTTATGTGAGTGTCAGGCCACGGACAATTCCCAACCATCCAACGGGATCCTCTCCGGAAAAGATTCTGTACTTTGTAAATTGTATTCGTTCATCTTACATTTTACAGTTTGTTTTTGTCAAATATTATTTGTGTTTAATTTTAAATAAAAATATTTAAAATAATTTTTAATCACACAATATATATTGCGATGAATTGACATAATTTATGAATTCCTAAAATTCTCACAAAAAGAATATGACGAGAATCCGGATTCCTTTATACTCGCAAATTCTGGGAAAGAAAACAAACGTTACCGAAATTTAGAGAGAGACTGAGAGAGAGAGGTTGGCCCTTTGGATTGAGTTGTGTGATTTTGAAGCCCAAAAAAGCAGAATTTGGGGCAAGGCCTGGGCCCTGGTGTTTAGCTTTTTAACTAATTTTGGGGTTTTTGGGATATGATTTTTATGCTACGTAACACGGTAATGTTTATGTTTACAAATATTTTAATTGTTAAATTTAACTTTTATAATTGTTAAAATTTTTATTTTAATCTCAACCGTTTATTTTCTATATAACTAAGTAGTGCTACGTAAATTATAGAAAAATTGCTAGTTTTGTACTGAAGGGCGCTAACCACCAATCAACCCCAAATGTCTCTTTCAACAAGTTTTTTTTATTTTTGTCACTTAATACTACGGTTTGATGATATTCCTCTTAGCTTATAAGTGAGAGGTCTTAGGTTCGAATCTCGTGGATGACGAATTCAAAATCAAATTAAGCTGCTCATTGTATGATTTAGCCGAACACCCATTCCTCCTAATGTAAAAATATCGATTGTACTCAAAAGAAAAGGAAAAAAAACAAGTTTTTTATTTTTACATTTTATTTCTAGATATCCTTCTGTTTAGAAATCTATTCAAAATGGGCAAAATCCTTGTTGGTTTTTTATTTTTTGATAACGAAAAATGGAGGAAGCTCGCCGTTCCATCGGTAGAGTACTTCTCTCAACACTAACTGTAAAAATTCGATTCTCAGAATTACTTTCTTTAAAATGCGATAAAGAAAGAAATGGAAGAAAAACGAACTCTTAACAAAACCGTACCATTAACAATTCCGGTAAGTGGTTCTGATGGACTGGTGAACCAAATCGGACCAAACTGAAAATTTTGATTATATTATCGCAACCTCAATAAAAAACCAAACCGGACCAATTATATTCTCAACCCACATATTATATATGGCTAGTTTTTTTGGTAAATCTTATTATTTCAACTTTATTTGGGGCAAGGGTTACTTTCAAACTGAAAATTGTCATTTGCAAATCTTCCCCAAGCAGGTAAGTAGTGCTCGCAATCGATACTATTTCCAGCAAGTATCTATCGTAGCATGTTTACATACGAGGAATGGATATGATTCTCATTTCCGTGGATACTGGCGACAAAAGAATATAAACAAAAATAAATATACCTCAAAAGTCGAAGGTATGCAATTAACGGGGCGGGGAGGGCGGGAGGTTGTTTATCCTTCGAATAATACACAGCCAGGATCCTTATACACAGACAAGTAAATAATCAAAGCATAAAAACAGGTAAATTGGAGAGAACGGAGAGCAACACAATACCTCAGTTATTCCATTATCTTATAACATTCAGATTATGTTACGGTACATGTATTTATATATGCCCACTCAAGAAGAAAAAAAACAGAATGATATCAATATACATCTGCCTACGAGGTTCAAAACTAGTACGTTCACAACCAACGCACAAATAAGGTTCGTCAGTACTTAATTGGATCATGGGCACATACTTTCCAGCACTCTCTTTCCTTTACAATACGACTGAAATTTCCTCCTAAGCACCATCATCATCAACAGTGTTGACCCTCTCGCATTCGTCTATCCATTCACTGTATCTGTAACCAAAAAAAATTATGGTCAAGCATACAGGTAAAGGTAAAGAGAAACTAATTTCAATAAACCTGCTAGCCATAAAATAATTGAAGAAATTCACATCAATTTCTACTTACATGTCTATTGGTTCAGTCAAAGCTGCATAAACAAACCAAAGAAAGATCAGTAATTATGAATACATATGGAAGTGGCGGTCACTGTATGAAAGATCAAAAGAAGTTCTAAACCAAATAATCAGTTAAAATCAGAGTATATTACTTTTTTTCTACAACCTAAAGAAACTTTCTATCTAGTTTACCAATGTGAGGTTGATAGACATTCGAATTAAAATTTCTAATCGAGTTAACCCCAAATTTCCTAATACCGTCCTTTTCTGTCCATATACCATAACAATCCATACCTTGTGATCAAAACATTCACAAGTCTGTTCAGAAACATATTTCCATTTTGAATTATTTACCCAATCCTCCCTACATCTTGTATGCAGTATTAATCGCTACATCCAAGATTTATATGATAATGAATCAATGATATTTCCATCCTGTTATACTAACAATACGCATCAATAGTAAATTAAGATGAGAGTAAAGTATTTGACATACCTGTGACGGTTGTGCTGAAATTCTCTTGGCAAATGGAACAGATAGCCTCGCCAATCAAGTTTTTCATGTCACTGAAACCAAATAACTTACTTTACTTCAACTCAAGACAAAATGAGAGAAAAATACATGTGCAAGTACGCTACCCAATCAGATGCTAGTTCATAAACGAAACACACAAATGGAAAAGGAAATGTAATAGTAACCCATTATCCACAATGACATGCATCAATTTCTCGCATCATATATGAGAGACCACAATTCTCTTACCATAAATGACATAACCACCTTCATCAGAAGTACCATAGTACATACAGGAACCAGCAGAACTCAACGTCCTAAGAAGATATATATACCAAAACTGGAGAGAAAACAGATTAAATGAAACTTACATGCGGCACTCAACACTGCTCCCATGGTTGCAGAAAGGGCAACAGAAAACGGTATCCAGCTTGTCCGTTCGCTTCCTAGCTGCAGGCTTAGCCTTGGCCTTTCTCTTGCCCATTTCTCAACAAATTTCTGTCCTATCATCATAATTACACCAGTTAGTTCGCATAAAGGATACTAACAAAAACATACAGCAACCAGATCACCTGAGCTCCCCACATACATAGATGTTGAATCCCTACTATCATTTCAAGAAACATGATCCAATTAACAATTACACACACTCCGTCGGTGCAAGGGTGTGCCGGGTACGCATAGAGAGGGTTAAACTATTTCCGGTAAAATGTTTACCGGAATGATGCGAAATTTGCAATGCATGACAAGTACACGGACTAGGAGACTGAAAGAAAAGTGCTTGTTGTTAATTTATATCAAGAACGAATTTTTACAGCAGAAAACATGCTACCCAAATCATAAATTTCGCACTACATGAAATAAAAATAGAAAGATTCTAAAGGGGGTGAAGAACCCTAGAAAATTTACAGTGAAAGAAACAAAATTGAAGTTAGAGAAGTGGAAATTAAGAAACGATGAAGGAAGAAAAGACCCCAAATTTTGACAGCAGCTGAGAATTATGTGTGAATTGAATTAAAGAAACCCTAAAATTACGAACCCTAGAACGGATAGAGGAGGGAGAAAGAAACATGGTACCTGGGAGTGAGACGACGCACTGCTGAATCGTATGATTGCTCCACAAAACACGCTATATTTCCTGGGGGGAAAACTAAGGGCTTTCTATTTATAGGCATGTGGCTTTTGCCACGTGAGAAATACTTTTTTTTTTTTTAAAGAGCAAAAGCCAAATATATTTGAAATTAACTTGCATGAAACGAATTTTTCGGCCGCTTAGAGTTTTGGATTGATAATACGTTGTCCTGTATAAATTAGGTTGTTCAATGTTAAAAGCATACCTTGAGTAGGGCATGGGTTGCCAAAACTAGAGTCGGGATGCCCATATTTCTCCAAATCACTGTGCTGGTTTTTTTGGTATGTAGTTGGATTTGCTCCTCAATAATTTTAAGTGCTTCTTAATAACTTTCTCACGTTGCACTACGTGACTGGTTTGGTATACAATCACCGTTGGATCCCGAAAGTTCTACAAAAGTAACAGAACGGAGGCCGTCCGCAAGTATATCTTGCAATCGTTTCCTTTGATGAAGACTTAACTGATCAATGTTCCACTAATAAATCAGTTTAAGGGGTCAAAATTGTGCATACAAGCAATGATTTTACATGTATCCTGTTTGGTATATAGGTTTCACCTTAAGATAACATATAAAAAATAATTCAGCTGACAACAATGAAAGTTTTCCAAGATGGAGAAAAAAGGCGAAGAAACAAATTTTTTGACCAATTGGAAAGTTAACAACCAAGACGTCGTGAGACCAGAGTAGCTCTGTTTGATGAAGGAATTTGTGTCTCGTAATCCATCGATTTTGTTCTTCATTCTGACTACATGGGATCTGTGCCTTGTGAATTGAGCTTAGTTTGCATACCCAGCTTCCTGTTGTAAACACAAAGTCAATAGCTAGGATGCTGGTTCTGCAAGGTCCGTTTCCAAATCATCTCCCTCCGTTCGCTTCCTTTTAGGCTTGCGTTTTTTCTGCTTTTGTTTGAGCTTAATTTGATCTTTAACTATCTTTTCCCATGCTTTTCTGTTTTTCTGATAAAGCACCATCGCAGCACGAGCATCTTCAATCTGAAACAATACCCTGAGTTAGACAAAAGTCTTCCTACATCATTTGCAACGTTCTGAGTTCGTGAGAAGCTGTTATGAAAAATAATATGCAGCAACAAGCAAGAAATGAATAATTAATTTTAAATCTCGGGAAGAAACTGCATCTCTCGCATGAGAAATTAATGAATATAAACCCTGAAATACATCAAGAACGAAGAACAAACTACAACCACTACGGCACCCAAAACATGTAATAATATGATTTCTTTTTTGAAGGAAACTAAATTTTAAAAGGAATATAATTATATATAAGGTAGAAATGAATATCAAAATTTTCAAGGATCATGTATTCATCAACTTTTCCTTGGACCACCCAATGGCTCGTGGCACTAATTGAGATACCTGGCCACAGCACCTTGCGGGAAAATCGAGTTTCATTTGAGATGAAAGTATCTGTCTCCGCTCAAATGGTATGAAAATGCTAACTCATTCTACACAATTGAATTAAAAGAACAATTGGTCAAAACCCAATATGAGCATGTCATCTAAGTTGGGAAGGAAATGTTGGGACAAGAGGTTGGGTTGTATAGCATTGTCCCTTTTGAATTCTGATAAGCCTTGTCACAATTCCATGGAGGTTATAAAATCGATATCCTAACGCTTAAGATGTTGTAAGGATATTCTAATAAGAAAACAAACTTCTGTGTGAACTGTATTACGAAAACGGTCAATAATCATCAAAGTCAATAATCATCAATAAAGAATCAAAATACTAACAGGGCAGTGCTCTCCATTTTGGATCTTCACATCAAGAAACTCTGCTGCAAGATGCCGAAGTGCCCTTCTAGACCCTTCCCCCCTGCTTCACCAACCACAGATATCATGAGGACACCTCATAGTAGTTCAAGACGATCGGCCAATTTTAATTTTTAAAGAAAGAAAAAATTACCTCATAAAAGGTTCATACTCTAATGTATCCCTGATGTCCCCCTTGGGATGACTTAAAAGCAATGCCTGTTTAAGTCAAATTGTCAGATGATAGAATCAGACATTATTCTCTACACCACTGTATTAGAAGGCCAGATACCTTAAGATCATTGCGCAATGCATGGCCCACGAGAATTCTCCCCTTAATCAACTCTGCCACTTTTTTCTGAACAATTCGAAAATCCTTTGCTGTAGATAACAAAGATGCATGAGATGTTCTATAAGAATGATTTTCCATCACTGTAAAAAGGATGCTGACATAAAATAGCCATTTAAGAAGGACGCCAACAATTTAGAATTTCAAACCCGAGTTTTAGTGAAAAACATCTGCATTCAGTATATTAATAATTGCAGCATAAATACAAACAAAAGTCAACCTTTTCTCAAGTCTCGGGGACGAATGCCACTTATTTGAGTACGAAAATCAACAACACGTTCTACTGGGCGAACAAATTCATCATATACAACATTTCCCCATTTATTTACCTGCCATCAATCTGTACATCAGAAATCAGTGATTCTAACAATTTAAAATACCAAGCATAAGATAATATCCAACTACAATATGACAGAAAAAGAGGAGTGAAAGAAAAGGAACAAATAAATACCAGCGTAACGCGTCCAAGGGCGCTTTTGTTTCCTTGACCGACACCAACCATTTCACAATCCATGGCTACTTCATCTGTCAAGCTGTCAAATGGTTCATACCTCGTAAGTTCAGTGCTATGACCACTTAAAGTTAGAGAAACGAAGGGAGCCTCTAGATTTTGCACATAGGAAACCAATATCAAATTTGTGATGTAGTTACTTGCAGTTTCATTCTAGTAAACATGTCTATTTTCCGATGAAAGGATAGAGAGAAACAAAAGATTAAATGTTCCCTAGCATTATCCTAAAATTAAAACCCTTGCGCGGTTGAAAATTTCACAAATAGGATTCCATTCTATGTCAATGAGATTTTGGCATTTCAGATGATAACGAAACTAAAAAGTATAGCTTTCGAGATCTTTCTAAAATTCTAATGGAGATGAACTAGTACAAAATTAAACAGGATGATTGTGAAGACAACCCGAAACAATTCCCCTATTTTCCTAAACAAATAGAAGAAAATTTCACCTCCCAACCAACCCAAAAACCTTAGTTGTCCGCGGAATTCACATTTAAGCAAAACCCAAATAAACACCTAAAAAACAGTTGAAAGTTCTGTTCTTTTATGTTTTCCTGCATTTTCTCAGCAACCAAACACACCTTCAAAGCATAAACACGTTCAAAAAATCACCTGGAATCATCATTAACTGGATCGAGAGGATTGATACGAGATGGAGAATCATCATTCAACTCCACATCCAGTCTCTCTTTCCGCTTCCCTGATAATCAAATTCTCAAAAATTAAAAATCTTTGCTTTTATGCTGTTTTCAGAAAACCCAAGAAAAAGAGAAGTGCTTTTTTTATGTTAGGTACCTAAGATTGTTGTTGTCGTTGAGCCATGACTCTTGAGCTTCTGTTGGAGCTGAGCCCAGTTGGGGTTCAGTTGAAGCTGCTGCTGCTGTTTAGGGTTCTTTTTCATCTTCTTTCTTCTGCCGTTCCTGCTGCCGCTGCCCCAGGAAACACAAATATGCGATGCGCGAAAAAAATTAACGACATCGTATTTTTAGTCGTTTTCTTATATATCTTTCGATTTATGATTTTTTAAGAGTAAAATTTAGAATAAGTCGTTGAACTCTAACCCGAGTTTATAATTCATCTCTGAATTAAAATTTCATTAATTTACATTCCTGAATTTAGCAAAATGTGTGCTATTGGTTCTAGTTGTTAATGTATGTGGAAAAAAATCTGTTCATGTGGTGTGGCACACACATAGGTTTCAATACCTTATTTATCATTGTTGGATAAGTTTAAATTTTAAAATCTGTATAGTGAATATACACAAATAGTGCACAATTTAGTAAGTCATTGCACCTACAGTCTAAGTAATTGGGAGATAATCAATAGATTCCTTTTCGGGAGTAATTCTTCATTCCTAAACGCAGCATACAACTCTTCGTTGTATTGTGCTCTCCAAGTGTGTTTGTTCCTCCCTTCTTCCTTACCATGGCAAGTCTTTGTGAAATAACTCCTATGAGAAGACAAAAGAAGACGTTAAGAGACCCTCCTAGCCCAACCTTAGACACTCTAAGATTCTTTTTCAATCCTGCTCTCATTTTAAGTCAAGAGATAGATAAATAGACACATAAATTAACGGAATTTTAGTTTAGGATGAATTCTAAACTCGGGTGCAAGTTCAAGGACAAATTCTAAATTTTACAATTTTTTTAGTTAAGATATCGTACACAAATCCACATTAAGAGGGGGGGAGGAAAGATTGAACTTTGAAAGCAGTGAGTTGAAAAAGATGGCTCTCACTATTAGGCAATTCACTACTTGGATTTATAATTTTAATTTGCTATGAATTTCTACCCAAACTTTTATTTTAGGACATATTACTTACTTGGTGTGTGGATGAGAATGATTAAGTATGAGACGAAACGAGAAATTAATAGAATTGGATAACCAACTCCTTATGTTAATGAAATACCTTTGCTCTTCAAGTATGTCATATTCTAAACATATGGAACCCACCTACCATTTCATTTTTAGTTGTTAGTAAACACATTAATAAGAATGATACAAACCCAGTCCCACTTTATTCCTTGTAAGTAAACATGCCCTTAGTCAACTACTCAGCATCCCCAATTTCATTCGTTCATGTCTTCCTTCCAACTATGCCCTTGTTGTTGGTGAAAGGTCATATTTACCCTTGAATGTGATAGAACTATGTTCATGTGACAAACACACATCTAGTTTGAACAAAATATAATATTTAGTAATGAGTACGGATATGCTAGAAATTTAGAATTTGAAACCTCATTTGTAACAAAAAAAAAAAAAAAAAAAAAAAGAAACTTTTAAGGGATTATGTGGTTCAAAAACAATGGGACATAAGAAAGGTAAAGATTTCATATCCCAGATACATTCCCTCAATTTATAATTATTCTTGACAATGACATTTACTTTGACTTGCGCCACCCAATTTGCCATAAACATCGAGCAATATGCGTCGGGGAACAAATGCTCATTTTCTACGAATAGCAACAAAGAAAAGGAGAATAACTTCATTAATTTCTTGACAAAATTAAAAGAAGTTGAATTGTTGCGGAAAAGACAAATATTATAAGGATCTATTGGCACCTTTGGAAGCATATGCACACTACATGGACAGAGATGGGGAGTTTGATGATGGATAATTTCAAGAATTATTTTTATCGATTTTACATTTTAAGTATCAAAATGAAGAGTTATATCATTTCAAAGATCATTTTGGATACAAATCCAGAAAATAAAGTCATCTTTCTCCAATGACGAGATTTGGATGTGCTAGAAAAACAAATGGGTGAAAGTTAAAGAGTGGAGAGACAAGTTATGTTTCTATCTATGCTTCTTAGATTCAAAATTTCATCTCCTAAATTATGTAATAGTTTCAAACTTTTATCCTAGTAAATTAAATAAATAGAAAAAAGAAAGGGAGAGGTTAGCCGGTGGTGTTTGCTGCCAAGGGTTGTTTGTCAGGGTTGATGTGACATCCCACATTACCCAGGGGAGTGATCCTTAAATGTATATTCTCATCCCTACCTAGCACGAGGCCTTTTGGGAGCTCACTGGCTTCGAGTTCCGTAGGAACTCCGAAGTTAAGCGAGAAGGGGGCTAGAGCAATCCCATGATGGATGACCCACTGGGAAGTTGCTCGTGAGTTCCCAAAAACAAAACCGTGAGGGAATGGTAAGCCCAAAGCGGACAATATCGTGCTATGGTGGTGGAGCGGGCCCGAGAAGTGATCCGTCCCGGGCCGGGATGTGACAGTTGAGACGGTGGGAAAGACCAAAGGGTTGAATTATTTATTTTTTAGTTTAAGTGTTTTAATTCTCTCTCAAAATTAATAAAAGAAAACTTAAGCGAATTGACATGCAACGCCAAGACGCATCAAGTAATTTAGAATTGTCATCTAAAAAGATGGTCTTTCTAGTAATACCCTAAATATAAATAAGGAAAAACCCAATGGCATTATAGCAAGAGAGGATATGGTGTTGGTGTTGTGGCAACCTACATAACATCATTTTCACCCTAGAAAAAACCACAATATGGTATTTAACTAGCTTTCGATCCAAATTAAGGACAAGCACACAAATCACAAGAACAACATTCTAATATGTAGACAACGGTCGTCGCTATAGTATAAGAGACTGAGCAGAAAAAAAAGTTTAATTAATAGCACGAAATAACGACTATAAAAGCTCTAATTAACACATCAAACAACGAACAAATACAAAAAATGTAAGCAGTTATATGAAGACATAAAAAATCGAAATGCATTGCCACCGACCTCAAGACCAATAAAAAAGAATGGCAAGTTATATTCTCAAATGGTCAATGTATATAATTAATTATGCAGTACATTTTGATGGGTAAAATTTGTGACACACAAACAAGCACACACAGAGACACAGAGACAGAAGGTTTCAAGTGCAAAGATGCAAAACCCAAAAAGCAGCTGCCTCCTGCAGCAGCTATAAATACTCTGACAAACCCTTTTTTAAGTCCCTAGCTTTCTTCTTCTCTCCCTGTCTCTGCAAGTTTAATCGAGAAAATGGGAAGAGGAAAGTTCAAGGGCAAGCCCACCGGCCGCCGCCAGTTCTCCACTCACGAAGAGATGGGTATTAATCATCTCACTCTTTGTCCATCTGTTTCTCCATGTATCTCAAATCTGGTTCAAACAATTTACCGTCGTGATTTTATATGTATATCTATATGTGTATGGGCATATGTATGCACAGGGTCTCAGTTGTTTGCGGTAATTTTTAGATCTAGATTGATTTGTGAACGTTTTAGTTATTTTTAGCGTGGAATTTCGGCTATCAATCTGAAATTTTGTAAATTTTGCAATGGAAGTTTGTATAGTGAAGAAATATTTGTTGTTTTTGGCATGTGGGTTCTATTTTGTATAATTCGGTAGGCATTTCTGATTGTAAATTTTAAAAGCTCGTAATTTTTCGTGAAAGTTTGTTTCTAATTTTGAATAATATCTTGGTCATTCCATGGTTCAGCTCAGGAGTGGTTTATGGGATAACCTCTGTAAGAAAACAAAAACAAAAACAAAAACTTGTTCGAAGTGGTTGCTTCTAGCTTATTGGTAGTGGGTTGGCTTGAAGACTATTTTGTTGATTTCGGCATGCGGGTTCTTTTTGTTTCCACTCGGCTTAATGTTTGGAATCTGGACCAGTAAATTGGATAATCGTTGTAAGAAATAGAACATGATAACTTGTTCAAAGTGGTTGCTTCTAGCTTATTGGTAATGATTTGCCTTGGAATTTGCAATATAAGCTGGAGTATCGCTTGGGTTCGCTTGAAACTTGGGATTGTTAATTGGATAAATGAATCAATGTAACTATGCGTTATTAATTCCTAGTTAGGGTTGGTGCATGAATGATGAATCCCTTTTGAGGTTATCCTGTGAAAACATTCTCAGTCAAATTTCACAACCCACTACTTTTGCTTGAAAACCCCATGAGTTTGTACGGACGTTTTTGAAATTTACACCAAATTAATAATATACGAAGTTTCACTGTTGATTGAGTTATACTATATGTCAGACTAGGAAAGAATGTTTCCCTCAACTATATTAATTCTACTCATGTTTCTCTTGGATGGCTTTATCGGTTTATATGAGAAAAAAAATTAAGATTTTTTTTTTAATCAACAATCAAGGTTTGTTGTTTATGATGTTTTAGTTGTATTACGAGTTTACCAGTTGTTCTCCTGAAGACTGTATGAAGTTAACGATTTGTGAGTTTGTATATTTGGGTGATGTTAACAATATCGGCTTCACTTAAGTCTCAGACATTTTTCTTAATGTCAAATTATATTTATAATTGGTAAAGTTGTTTCAAATGCTTTTGAACTTTCATCTGCTATGTTTGACTCAGCTTGCCTTTGTGTCTATACTTCAAATGATTGCAGTTGCTGGTTCCTCTGCCCGTCCGCGTGGTTTTAAAAGGGTAATAATCTGTCCCTTGTTCCTTTGTATTACACTTTTCCCATATGATTTAATTGAAGACATTGCACTTTTCATGCTGCCGTCATGATTCTCAAATTTAGAGATGAGGGTTTCAATAGGCTTTTATAGTATTTTGTTTGAACATGCATACATACACAGAACAGATGCATGTAAAGTGTATAGGTGCTCATTATGCAGAGTCTGCATTGATGGTTAAACTAATGCACTGAAGACGTGTATATTGACTTAATGAGAACCAAGTTGTTCTGTAACCCAAACTTTTGTGGCTGATAGGAATCTTATGAATCATGGCTGAACCAACCAGAGGCAATGGAACTGCATCTGTTGTGGATGCCTCTAAGCATTACATGTTTCAAAGGATTACCATGTGAAACAAAGTTTTCTTGGCCCTCTAGGGCATGTCTCCTTTTGGAAGTATTGGACTGCTGCATTCCTTTTAAGGACTGCTGTCAACCCATTGACTGAAAACCCATAAGAGATATGTCCCTAATATTAATCTCATATAAATAAGGCCGAATTCTGATTTTGGTTCCTGTAAAGCT